TAAGAGGTAAATGACTAGTACCGGGTCGATCGGAAATGAATGATTAAGGGTCGGCGACTCTCCGTTGAAGATCACACTAAAAAGCAACAATGTAATGCTACATCAAAAATACAACAAATTGCACAAAAAGAAAAGGGATCGAGGCAGATTCCTCGGGATAGCCCTTAATCCACCCATGCACGGGAAGTGATCTAAAGTTTCTGGCAGGAAGACTCTCTACTAATCATTGATATGACAAGCTTGCATGGCAAAGCTTGGCAAAAAGGCAGCCGATGAGACAAATGAAACGCTGCATGGGCAGAGTTGTTTTAGACTAAGTGGTAATCAAGCCTAAACTCTAAAGCTTTGAAATTCTCTATGACTAGGAAAACCCTTGCGAATTTGATGTTATCCTTTTCGGGGTAAAACTTAGAAAAGCGCGCACCATAATCTTGAAGGGGCAATACAGAGGAAATTTTTTTCTTGAAGTTGGGGGTAAAATCATGAGTGACCTGCTAAAAAAAAAAAGATAACTAGAGAAGCATGTAAAAAGGGGAAGTGAAGTATCTTCAACGCACAAAATGAATCTCACAAGTCATGCACTCATACTAGGATAGTGGCACAGAATCTCTGACAGAATCGTTGATTAAGATGTAAATTTAGCAAAATCAAAACATTTGCGAGCTACTTGCATCCGGCCAGTGGAACAATGTTTACTTCCGCAAAAGACTTGTTTCGACTTGTTTCGTTTGCGGTGTTCCAGGCTCTTCCGACTCACACTAGTCATAACTTATATTCAGTTTTCCTTGACCTATCCCTTCAGTGAGACAGTGCAAGATTACGATACACAGCCTCAAGTTTCAGAGACTAAGAAAATCCAGAAAGACCGCAATGAAACTGTTTTCAGTTCTGCCAATGTTTCTTTTGATGCTCTCCGTTTCAGGTAATCTCCGGATTGACTGCGTTTTAAAAAAGTCGAATGAATAGTGAAAGAAGACTGCTCGCAAAAGGAAAAACTCAATCCGCATTTGCCATCGGATTAGATTCTGGCCTAAAAAATGCGTCGCGGTAGCGAGCGAAATGCCTAAGTTTTGTTTAGCAGTAGCTATTAAGTTTTAAACTAGGTAGGGGAAGAGTACCTCTAGTTACTAAATCACCCGTCGGCTCCCGGAACTCGAGGAAACCGAGTGGATAAGATACAAGTGGCCAGTTTAAAGTAAACCGTCTTCTGTAATGTAATTGGATTACAGAGATTGAAAGTGATAAAAAAAGTAGGTTAAAACGTGAAGTGACTAAGTCTTAATCTTTTTGTCACCACCAAGATATAAAAAAGTAGCAAAGCTTCCAGCTCGATTCCAACGTACTTTCGTTGTAGCTTTATCGAGTTGATTCCAAACCAAAGCCATTTCACAACCGTGCAGGAGAGTCTAACGTTTTTCTAGTCTTGTGTTCCTCGCTGTAAGGAGAGAACTCGAATCATTTCTTGTTTATTTCTAGGTAATTGCCCTGAAAGTTGGAAACAGTTCAAAAGCTATTGTTACAACGTGAGCAGTAACATTACGACTTGGCAAGGGGCCCAATCGTACTGCAAAAGGTGGGGAGGAGAACTGGTGAAGATCAACAGCTTTGACGAAAACGAGTTTGTACTGAAGCTGGTTCACAGCCGTGCGCCATCGCTGAAACAAATTTGGATTGGACTCAAGTGGAATCCAAAGTACAACAATTTCATTTGGTCTGACTACTCAATTCCATTTTACAAGTTCTGGGCTCCGGGTGAACCGAATGGAAAGTCCAGGGAGCCATGCAGCAACATGTGGATTGCGCACTCAACCAACCTGCCTTACCGAGCTACTGGTTACTGGAATGATCTTATTTGCGGAATCCACTCGCTTCATCCTTGTGGATTTGTCTGTAAGAAGCTGGCATAGTCGGGAGCAAAACCTCATTGCCGCCCAAGATAAAAGCCTGAACTAGTGGGGAGTAGTGATGAGAATTTTAGATTAAGCTCGGGATTTATCATGCGTGACCGATCGCGATGATAAGTATTGTGATCAAAGACAAAATAAAATAATTTTTATGCAAATTTAATACAATGACGGTTTGAAAATAAAACAATAACCATGACTTTTTTGCTTGATATTTAACACTCAATTTGAAAAAGAAAGAGTACCCTCTAGGCTTTATTTTCAGCAGTCGAAAGCCCAATTTCCTTTTTTAATGAGCAAAAATACCCTCAAGAAAAAAGTACTTAGCGATGATGTAAATGACAAATTTTCCTCCGCCAGTTGTCTTAAGCCAGCTAATATTAAATTAGGAGGTCTTTCAATTTTTGTCAGTGACTGACCTACTCTGACAGCCCTTGTAGAAGTCATATCATCAGACTCAAAGCGGATGACTTGTTCACACATGCCAAAATGTCAATGGAAATGTCAAAATGTCAAGTCACGTGTTACGAATAGCCTCATATCACGAGTCAACAATAGCTCTTTTCATTACTACTATTAAAGTGAGAGGATCACGTTCAATCAGAATAGTAGTGGCGCATGTTTGACCTACGACTGAGCATATACTCTAAAAACAAAAAGTACAGATCTCCAACCCCTCAGAATCCTTCATTTTTCTACAAACTATTTATATCGATAACAACAAATAATGTTTTCTTATTTCCAAGCAGTGGATTCGAATGGTCCTGATCATCTGCCTAAACGTTTTTCAGTCGAACAGTGATCATAGTGGTGTGTGTCCTGCCGTGATAAAAAGACTCTTAAATTGAATTAAAAGTAAATTTTCACGGGCTCCTGCGAAACAGGTACCCTAAAGCATCACCCCCTCTTACATGACGATTAGTCTGTATTTTGTGTAAAAATCTTAAAGTAATACACCCTCATAAACAGAAAATGTCCGAGAATCTTTCGGTTATCAGACTGAGATTTACATAAATGCAAAATTTCACTTTGGAGAACGACAAAGAATATCTGACCAAATCCCATTGATTACCCATTCGACATATATAAACATTCACATAAATGATATGTGACTAAATGCCTACACCAGATATTTAGTCGAATACAGTACTCCTGCATATTCTGGGTCAGCGCCAAAATGATTTCTTTAGAGAAGAAGTTTAAGTTTTAAAAACTGTCTTTTTATAGTCAGTGAGATTGCGAACAAAACGGAACGAACTTTTGAAACACCCTAGCTACATACAGAACTTCTGACAAAGAGGTTTTATTTGGATGGTAACAACATAGAATTTCTTTCACAGATTTGAAAGCTGTAGGGCCTAGAAGCAGAAGGAACTTTAACAATCACAAGTCCCTTATAGATGTATCGTTTCCTAAGCTTGGATTACAGCCATTAAAACTGATATAAAATTATTTATACAAATTTTAGAGACATTTTCAGTGCGCTTACTTGGTATAGCCGTTTACTGTTGAATTCGGACCAAGGCCATTTCGCAACAGTTTTAATGTAAGTTTTTCTTCTCCGACTCTTCCTTTTAAAATAAATTGCCTCCTCTCCAGTCCATCACGGTTTTTCAGAGAAATAGAAGTGATTCAAGAGAGGATAAACAAACGATGAAAATCTGCATTTTAATAAGCTAACCTGGGTATATACTTTAATTCGATCAATCAGTTGCCCCTAATTTTTTGTCTTTTGCCGGCTACACTAGCCTCTACATTTAGTCCGCCAATCATGTTGTCACAACTGCTAACAGGTACGTGAGTACGAGTAGCTCCTAACCTGCGATCAGGTGGTCCTTCATCCCTTTTTCTTCGTTTCCATTTTTTTTTCTTTGCCCGTCGCTCTTCTCCGAAAAAAACGAACCCAATTCTCGCAGGTTAGCTAGCCTTCCCTCCGCCCCAAAGATCGCACGTTGTGTGGTACGTGAGTTACGCTTCCTTCACCTGTTAAAATATAGCAAGTTCTAACATTTCAATTCAGTTGTGGTACTGCGAATAAATTATAAAGTTCCGTCCAGTAAAAATCTATATTAAGACAAAAACGACGAGTTTAACTGTCGTGAGTTGTAAAAGTTCTTCATCTTTTGATAACACTAGCCCTATTCGTACCTACTTGATATCTAATGGAATCAGCCAAGAGCAATTAAAAAAACTACAAAACTGCTTCTGAATTAGAAAATATTAACAGTTGTCACACATGTTAAGCTTTCAAGAGCTGCTGTGTTTGCTTTTCTGTCTGAACACTGAACAATGTTTTATCAGTCACAAGAAAAGGTGGCTTTTCACTGCAAATGCCAGAGATTAATTGCATTTTGATTTCTCATTTCTTGTCAACATTCACTGAACAAACTACCAATGGCTATAGTGTGAGCTAGTGTGCACAAAAAATCCTAAAGTGTTCTGGTAACGGCTGGAGTAACCTTCGCCATTTTTTGTCAGGATCGATTTAGGGTACGTCAGGTAACCGAGGTAACTACCCTCGCCTCCCTCCCCGCCCCGCCCCCATCCCCCCATCGCATACTGCGTCGCAAGTACGTGAATTAAGCTTGCTACACCTGTTAAAATATAGGAAGTTCTAACATACAATTGAATTCAGTTGTCGTGCTGCGAAATAATTATAAGTAATATTCTATCGTGCGATTTCTTAAAACAAAAGCGACGAGTGGCACTGAACTATTAGTAAACGTTTTTATATCCTTTGATAACACTAGCCCTTTTCTACTTTTCACCTTATGGAATCAGCCAAGAGAAGTTACAAACACGAAAAACTGTTTCTGACATTTAGAAAAATATTAAACAGTTGTCTGCCCACATGTTCAGCTTTTAAGAGTTGTTTGCACTTCTGCCCAAACAGTGTTCTAACGATGGTGTCTCTTTTACTGCAAATGCCAGATCAATTGTATTTCGATTTCCCATTCAGTTGTCAACATTCAAAAAAACAAAACGTGGCCATTCAATGACAGCTGATTGAATGGTAATGCCATTTTTGTAAATTAAATTGCCTTGAATATGATTAGCTAATTTCGGCGACAGAGAGCACATTGATACCGCCTGCGACCAAGCATTTGGGTATTAAGGCACTTGGGAAAGGCTTCATCATGTCGAAGCATTTTGTATTGATTTTGGTAGTCCTACTTCAGAGCCTTAACTGTTGTCCTGCTCTCAGCGCAGCTTTGGATGAGAACACAGAAACAATGAAAAATGAAAGCAGTAAAGCAATACCGAGGCTTACCACGGATTTGAAAGAAACAAGTTCAGATGAAAAACTGAATGATGTATACAGTGATGGTAAGACGAGTATATTGTTCAAGTACGTTATGAAAAACGGTTTGGGGGTTAAAAAGTAAATAGGTTGGGTTGTGGGAGGGTTTTTGACTCGATCTTCAGTAAATTTAAAAGGCCGAACATTCTCATTAAGAGATATTTTTGATCGTTGGGAAGAGAAGGTGCATTTGGACATTGGATTGTGCTGCAATGAAAAATGAGTCGCGGCAACGAGTGAAATATCTAGTACGTAAAGTTTGCCAATAACTTTTAAGTTCTAAAATGTAAGAGAAACTACTTCCACGTCAGTACATAGATTACTGTTTCCAGGAGATCCCAATCATAAGATCTGGCCGGCGAAAGCCAAGGAGAAACTGTCTCGATTCCGGCCTTTTGCCGATGTACGGTTAATATTTTGAAATCTTTTTATCAGTGAAAGGTGGATCGTTTCTAAACTTAGACTAAAAATGAAAAAGTAGGTGAGATTTTTGACGGATATTATGGTTTTGTTTTCACAACCTGCAAAAGCTTTAAGCGTCATTATAATTAGTTTTCGGTACTGCCGCTTTGACTTTTGGCACCAAAGTTATTTCACAACTCAGTGGTGGTAAAGTTTTATGTTTTTCTTGTCTATCTTTCCGGAAGTAGAGAACTCGAATTATCCTTTAATTAAACATAGACGCCCTAAAGAAATAAAATTGGTAGAAGTGAATCATAAACCCCTGTTGACAGGTATCAAGTAAAGCTTGATAAATAAACGCCGTTTTTGAGTCAACCGCATCCAACTCAATTTCAACAATTGATTATAGATGTAAAAAAAACATTCATATAAGAGAAAATGAATCTGATCACGAAACCCTTATATTTTTATGGCTGAACTGAATAAAAGAAAAGATTTAGAACTCAGTGGCTAGTCTTTTATTACCCATGAGGGGGAAACGGCCATTTTGAGAAAGAGTAGAAGATTTTTCGAACCTACCCCTCAATTCATCCTAGCATTTTAGAAATGACGCCCTCAAGTTAGTTTACTTATTGCGAAATATATTCTAGCGGCAAATCGTGCTGAAGTTCACCACATACTTTCAGTCTAAAGCCGTGTTTTTAAGATCGGTGTTTACTATTTATACGGCTGTGGCATTGAATTCTAATTTACACTCGTTAGTGCTTTAACTGACTTATGTGAAATTGATTAAAATGACCCTCAGATCAGAAAATGACCCCCTAAATTAAAACCAATTACGATTTTCAAAATGAGGCCCCAGCAAAATTGCCCGCCTGCCCTTCCTCACAGATAAAAAATGACCAGCCCCTCACAAGTCGCATCTCATACTTTGTTAAATAACGTGTAAGATTTTCAGCCGGCCTAATAATGTTTAATTTAGTAGACCTGTATATTCATTCCACTGTAAAAGTTCTGGGCTTCTCTTCAAGAACCAGAGAGTATCAATTTTAGTAACCTGCGATCAGACAGGTTAGACGTTATTCCATATAGTACTCGGTCATAACAATCACTAGTCTATAAGAGGAGTATAAAACTATCAAATTAAGTGTCTGTACGGTTTTTATTCACCGATATCCAGCATATACAGTGTACACTGAAAAACTATTAATTGATTGGGGTTGTTTTAATTCTTTTTTAGTTTGGTCTTTCTTATTTGTTGGAGCACTTTATTTTTATACTAAATATTACCTATTAGTTTTCCACCTTGCATGTCATAACCTAAGGCAAAGTAAAGTAACAAATAAATAATAAATTAAAAAATTATATGAGCAATCGAAAATACAGGCATTTTTTTATGTACCTCAATCTGTGTACATTTATTTCATTGAAATGAAAGGGTTATCCAGGAATGACCAATGCTCTTATTATGTTGTCAGCATTGACATTTTAATTCAGTAATCGAAAATCATAAATTATATATTTAAAAGCACAGCACTATGTGAAACTGCTTTGCGCTACACCATACAGACCACTATCAACAAGCAAATTTTATGAAAATTTCAAAAAAATTTTTTCCAAAGGTCCAAAAAATGACACTCACCTTCTTTTTTTCGATGTTTTGCTCCTTGTCGGGCATTTCTTTGAGCTGAAAAACTCTCATTTTCGGTCATTTTACCTCCCAAGAACGCACAAACGTTCATTGGACGGCATTTTTTCTTCACACCCCTGATTTATCATTGTCTAAAGTCACAGCTCTCAAAGTAGTATGGGGAAAGGACACTTCTAGGTGCAGCAAAGAGCCAGGAAGTGACCCTCCCTCGTGTTTCTCGGCGTGGCCGCCATTTTGCAAATGTGGGTGACGTCATCATATATCCAGATCTGGTTGTGGCCCGGACTGATAAAGAAAACCTCGATCCCCTTTTTCCAGCGGATTAGATTCTTGCCTAAAAAATGCGTCGCAGTGGCGAGCGAAACTGCCTTACTTTTGTTTAGCATTAGCTATTGCCCGAAGTTTTAAACTAGCTAGAGGAAGAGTACCGCTAGCTACGAAATCAGCCGTCAGCTCCCGGAACTCGAGGAAACCGAGTGGATATGATACAAGTGGTCAGTTTAAAGTGAATCGTCTTCTGTAATAAAATGGAATTACAGCGATTGAAATTGATACAAAACTAGGCTAAAACTTGCCACCACCAAAATATAAAAAAGTGGCAAAGCTTCCAGCTCGATTCCAACGTACTTTCGTTGTAGCCATTTCGCGTTTAGGAGAGTCTAACGTTTTTCTAGTCTTGTGTTCCTCGCTGTAAGGAGAGAACTCGAATCATTTCTTGTTTATTTCTAGGTTATTGCCCTGGAAGTTGGAAGCAGTTCAAAAGCTATTGTTACATCGTGATCAGCAACAATACGACCTGGCACCAGGCCCAATCGTACTGCGAAAGGTGGGGAGGAGAACTGGTGAAGATCAACAGCTTTGATGAAAACGAGTTTGTACTGAAGCTGGTTCACAGCCGTGCGCCATCGCTGAAACAAATTTGGATCGGACTCAATTGGAATCCAAGCGTCAACAATTTCATTTGGTCTGACAACTCAGTTCCATTCTACAAGTTCTGGGCTCCGGGTGAACCGAGTGGAAAGTCCAGGGAGCCATGCAGCAACATGTGGATTGCGCGAACCTACCTGCCTTATGAGGCTTCGGGTTACTGGAATGACCGCCCCTGTGGGATTGTTTCAGGATATCCTTGTGGATTTGTCTGTAAGAAGCTGCCATAGTCGGGAAGAAAACCTCATTGCCGCACTAGATAAAAGCCTGAACTAGTGGGGAGTAGCGATTAGAATGTTAGACTAAGCTCGGGATTTATCATGCGTGACCGATCGCGATGATAAGTATTGTGAACAAAGACAAAATAAAATAATTTTTATGCAAATGTAATACAATGGCGGCTTGAAAATAAAACAATAACCGTGACATTTTTGTTTGTTATTTAACACTCAATTTCAAAAAGAAAGAGCACCCTCTAAGCTTTTTTTTTTTCAGTAGTTGAAAGCCCAATTTCTTTTTTCAATGAGCAAAAACACCCTCAAGAAATAAGTACGTAGAGATGACGTAAATGACAAATTACCTTCCGCCCGTTGTCATAAGCCAGCTAATAAATAGGAGGTCTTTCAGTGTTTGACAGTGACTGACCTACTTTGACAGCCCCTGCGGAAGTCATATCGTCAGACTCACACATGTCAAAATGTCAATCAAAGTGTCAAAATGTCAAGTCACGTGTCACGAATAGCCTCATGTCACGAGTCACCAATAGCCTAGCAGGACTACTGTTAAAGTGAGAGGATCACGTTCAATGAGCATAATAGTGGCGCATGTATGACCTACGACTGAGCATATACTCTAAAAACAAAAAGTACAGTTCTCCAACCCGTCAGAATCCTTCATTCTTCTACAATTTATATCGATAACAACAAATAATGTTTTATTTCCAAGCAGTGGATTCGAATGGTCCTGATCATCTACGTAAACGGTTTTTCAGTCGTAAAGTGATCATAGTCGTGTGTCCTGCCGTGATAAAAGACTCTTAAAATAAAAGTAAATTTTTACGGGCTGGTAGACAGCGAAACAGGTACCCTAACGCGTCACCCCGTCTTACATTACGATCTCTATATGTTCTCTAAAACCTTAAAGAAAATGTCCGAGATTCTTACGGAGATCAGAGATTCACATAAATGTGACTGTTTCGCTTTGGAGAACGACAGAGATCCGATCGATTACCCTTTCTACAGTAAGCATTCACATAATATGTGACTGTATGCCTACAACAAATATTTAGTCGAATACAGTACTCATACATATTCTGTGTCGCCGCCAAAATAAATTCAGTTAGAGTAGTGAATGATAATAAAGTGTCGTCAGTTTCCCATCCCTTGGATCATGGTGTAGTTACACGTCATCAGATTTTTTCTTTTTTTGTTTTGTTTTGTTTTGTTTTGTTTTTTCAAAGAGTACATTCGCATCTTTCTTCTGTATAAACTGGAAGCCCACTTTCGTCTTGAACGAGCAGAAACTTCTTCAAACACTACGGGGCAGTAGCAAAAAGCGCGCTTTCTTATTTCGAAGTTACTGTTGACATCATTCAGTGTTACCTTCATCAGCTAGCAGTGAGATCTTTGATGGTTGGTGAGGTGTTATAGCACATTTTTACCTGCTTTTGTTCAGGGCTTCTTGAAATCTATTTTCATAACTTAATTCACGCTTTGTAGCTCGTGCGGAGGTCATGTCATCAGACACATGGCGGACGACTTCCTCACTCGAAAAGTCAATATTGTCATATGTGTCTAGAATTCAGGACTTCATTCACGAAAACGGGGATCATATTCAAGTAACCAACAGGTGGCCTACTTCAGCTTCAGGTTTTAGCCTATTTTGAGGCCACCGGGGAACGTTGCTTTCTAGATTTAGTAAGGTTGGGGGTATAAGAGGGCCTGTCCACAAATTTGAGAGGCTATAAACAGAGCTCACTTCTGTTGCTTTAAAAAGTACATGGAACCTCGTTTTTACAGTCCCCCTTTTTTCTCAAGGTCAGCAGAAAAATTTATTGTCTGAAGTAATAAAAGCGACAAGAGAAGAAAAGCATGTAGAGGAAAAAAGAGAGGTCAGGTGGTCGTCTGAAAACTTTCCCAGTGTACCTTGCACTCTCACTTGACCCATGCTTCACGGTCAAAATGGCGGATGAAAATGACAAATGAGATGTAAAATAATGCGGAAGACCAATTCAAAACAATTTTCAAATAAACAGCAGCAGCGGGGAAGACATTTCCACCGAAAAAACGCCATCACCGAAAGGGTTAATGAGAAATGTGACGAAACCAAATTAGGTGTACTGGCTCCACTGGAGATCTTGGCTGATTTTCCAAAAGTGAAGTGTTGTGGACTTTTGTGAAAGCAACGGGAATATCCTTCTTTTTGTAAAATCACTGAAAATGGCTAGCGAACGTGCGGTGTTTGCAAGATGTCTGTCTTTATTCGTCGCTTTTCATTCTCTGTACTGTGGAAACGCTGTGAATACGACGTTTGGTTTAGGAGCAATGCTTTCCTCTCTGGACAACCAGAAAGTCTTCCAGAGTGCTGTGGATAAAATTAATGCTAATTCAAGCAGTCTTTTAAGAGGAGCGATCTTGAATGCAAGCTCCTACGTTTTAAACGCAAACCCTATCCGTTCGGCAATGGATGTTTGCGAAAAGTTGATCGCTAATGGAGTAGCGGTAGTGATTGTTAGCCACCCAAGAGACGAACTCTCACCGCCGATTTCTGTGTCGTACGCCTGTAGCTTCTACTGGATTCCTGTCGTCGGGATTTCATCAAGAGAAACAATCTTCTCAGATAAGGTTTTTTTTTTTTCTGATTAAGAGTATTGTTGTATTTGTAATTTGAAATGGTTGTAAGAAATGGCAAAAATATGATACATTGATATTTAACGAAGAACAATATTGGAGTGACGACCATTACAAGAAAATAATTCGTTACGCTGTGTTTTAATAATACGTTGTGATTACTTGTAGAAGTTGCAATCATATATGGCCGAAGTAATTATCCTTTCCTTAGAAGCTAGATATACAGTTAGCCTCGCTTCTTCACTTCTTCAATTTAGTAACGGCTTTCGTAGATGTAGTTTTTGCCGTGGACATTCTCGATGCGCGGTTTTTCAAGGAGATGTAAAACAATGAACTAAGCTTTTTATACTGTAATGTGTAGTAGATTGTGTATTATTTAACTGAGGTGATGATTTTATTCATTTCTTGGCTTTTTAGATGGCACTTGGTAAATTTAATCATGTGTATGTTGCAGTTTGCCTAATATTGTTCATGCATGGTTTATAAAGCTCCAGAGTTAGGTTATCATACAACATTACTTACCATACCTCACAGTTACAAAAAAAAAAAAAAAAAAAAAAAAAAAGACAAAAAACAATTGAACCAAAACATATACATGTACAATAGCCTCTATATGAGAAAGTCTATATGATAAATAAAACTCTAGATGGAATTTCTTGGCTTTTGATATATCTAGGCACCCTGACAAAGGGTTTCAAAACCTGGCTATAACTTTTTTTCAAAATCACTTCACATTTTCATGATGGAAATCACTGGAAAATTGTTTTGAGTGTTAAATTTTAATATAATTTCTGAAATGGTACAACTGTGAATAATTTTTGATGAATTTCAGCTTTATTTATCTTTTATGCAGCTTTGCACCTCTATATTGTCACTACTATACACAAAAAAATAATGTGCAGGAAAACAAAGTTCTAAGCCAAACCAAGTGTATTGACGGAGGGTTTCTGTGAGCTTTTAAAAATAAATTATGTGGCTGAAGTTGAATAGCCGGGACATAATTCAAAGCTAACAATCCTTACTTTTCAAGTACTATTTTTGATAATAGCTTTCAAATGTGCTCTTCTGTACAAACAAAAATGGTGAAGTCATCACTGGATATTGTCTTTCCTTTACTGAATTATGGTTATAAAATATTACATTAGAAAATTCAGTGAACAGTTGTCTTGATGTAGTTTTGTAATACATGTATTTGGTTCCCCTAAGTAATCGCCAGTTTTAAAGAACAGTTACAACCATAATAAAATAACATAATCACGTTTGAAGAGGTGGTAGGAAGCCATAGATGTAGGTGACTTACCTGATTGATTAAGGAGTTTTTCAATATCAACTTTTAGCATTCAAGTTTGTAATATACAAAAAAAAAAAACAAACAAACAAACACAAACCAACATATGTTACCTTCACAGCTATTTTATTTATGGCATTGGCATAATAATGCTACAAAAATCCCATAGCATAAAATAGCTTTACTATAAGAAAATTAAAATATGTATTTTGACTGCTTTGTTTTCTTAATTTACTTATAAATTACTTTAATAACATTTTTAGATGGCCACAGTCCTTGGTATGTAACTTAATATTTTTGGATTTATTTTATGTTCTATTTCAGTCTATTCACGAGTCTTTTCTGAGGACTGTTCCGCCCTATTCAGATCAAGCTTATGTGTGGCTGGGCTTGTTGAAGAAGTTTGCCTGGTCTAAGGTTATTTTGCTGACAAGTAATGACCAGGATAGTCGCATGATTGCAACTAAATTTACAGGCTTGGCTGAGAAGAATAACATTAAGGTGAATTTGGAAGGCTATTAATAATAACTCCTATGTGTAGTTGCATTGTTGAGACTCTGATAATTCCGAGCAAAGTGAGTTTATAATCTTGTTGGGCGTGAAGCATGCACACAGTGTGTGGACCGTGCGTGCATCGTAGTGAGCTGCAAACTCACAGCACCTATACTTGTATATGTCTGATGGTGTCCGCCATGACGTCATACAGTAGTTTGACGTCACAGTGCATTTTTTGTTTCTAGGCAACATTAGACTGAAAGCAATTTCTCATCAATGACCAAAATGCACTACATGTTTTCGTTATGAAGAGCTGACTTGTTTATTCATCGTGTGTGAAATTCAATGTTTACTACTGGTAATTCTCAAGCAATTTCTCATGCAAAGGGAACAGAACAGCAAACATAAGAACGCCAAATTCAACAACCGGCTGTTTACTCGCAAGGGAAGATTTGACACTGAAACTAGCTTCTCTGAAGCAAGAATGCCGACTTGAAACTCATATTGCAACGAAGAAGGAAACAGCAGTAACAAACGGTGGAGCAGAGAAAACATCACTCAATGAATGTTGAATGCAAAAGTACTTTTAAGAGCAAATGGAAGCAATTTGGATAATTAGCCTCAAGATATGAGTGAAAATCACAGTTACAACAAAACACTTTTTACTCACAGATAATCAAGTTTATTCCATATCGGCTAAGTTGGGCTTCACTTCTTTAAATGTGATGAAAAGCATACGTCGAAGGCTGAATGGGCTATTAACTCAGAGGCCATGAGGGCGAGAGGAATAATTGTTTTAGTAAAATCCAACTAGTTGGTCAAAAACATCGAGAATAAAAAAGTTTTAGCTACTTAAAGCTAGACTTTAATCCTTTTTTTTTGCCAAAAAGATGGTGCTTTTTGCTACTAGTGGGCTATAACATGTAGCCTAGTAGTAGCTCAACCAATCAGAATGCAGCATTGATAATAGACCACTAGATAGATTTTACTAATAACCAATAGAAAATAGGAATTAAAACAATGGTAAAATTACACCATAAAGCATATAAAAATGTAGGAAGGTTTCAACCCTGAATAATTTTTACATGCACAGTTGTATAGATATTTCATTAATATTAATCTGGAATTTATACTGTGATTTTTTGAAGATTGTGTTTATTGGGATCAATATTTCGTTCCTTTTTTTTTTTCCTTGCAGATAGAAAAAACTGTCATGTTCCAGACAGGATGCCTTAATGTCACATCACAGCTTGCAAAGCTGAAAAAATTCCAGTCAAGAGTAATCCTGTTTAGTGCCAGGTTTGTACCATCAATAGCGGAAAGGTGGAGGACTGGCTGAGCCAAGAGGGGCCCCACAGCCAGTGCTTAGCCCAGTTTCTGTAATGTGAAATTAAGATCCCAGGAGAATTGCTACTTTTTTCACCCCATATTTATAGTCATTAATATTATTTGGGTTGCACCTTGACTTTGTCCCATTCCCACTGCAATTTCTCGCTCTCCCGCTTTCTCTTTTCCCTGCATTTACATGTATCTTTCCCTCCAATATGAGCCCTTACTTCTTTTCAAAAGGCCAAAATACTTCAGCTTTTGTTTCTTTAGAAAGTTCTCTAACCATTGATCTTCCACCATGGGCCTAGTGTCACGTGCAAGCGTGACACACGACAAACATCATTGTCTGTCATTTTGTAGCTCATTGTAGGGCTTATTTTAACTCATTTTAGCTCATAGTAGCTCATTGTAGCTCGTAGTAGCTCATCGTAGATCATTGTAGGTCATTGTAGGCCATTGTATTAAGTCATTGTAGGTTATTCCTTGTTTTAGTAACTACGACACACGTCCTCTGATCTTTTTTTTTTTGTCTTTTTCTAAAATCTTCATTTTAGTTCATTACAGGGATTACACGTTCGGTCATAGTAGCCCATTGTAGGTCATTGTAGATCATTGTACATCATTGTAGGTCATTGTAGGTCATTGTAGATCATTGTAGGTCATTGTAGGTCATTCCTTGTTTTAGTAACTACGCAGCTTCAGCGCCGGCTGTGTGTCGGCAAATTTCAGTTGCAACTTTGACTTTCATAGATGGATTTCCCCAGACAGATTACGATACAAAGCTAGTTAATTTCTTTTTAAAATTAGTGTTACCTGTTATTCTTAAGGAATTACAGTCAAATTTTCTCATTTCTACTTTACGTTTATTTCAAAAATTGTCACATATTAAGCTTGATAATTATTTCATTTATTTAGTTTTAGCTTATTTTTTTAGAGTTCTTTTAGATGGTGTTTATAGTTGCAGCTATAGTTTTCCCACAAAGTTTTTACCCTAATATTAAGAGCAAGTAGACAGATGCTATTCAGAATAAGAATGTAAAATATGTTTTGTAATTTACCTGAAGATGGAGAACGGTTATTGATTCAGCGAAAGAACAACTCAAAGGGGTGGGCAGATGGCAGCATACATGAACTCGGACCAATGACTCAACCGGCAAATGGAAAATAATGTTTTTCTCTTTTGATTATGTTATAAAAGAAATGGTAAACGTTGCAGCTGTGCAACCATGGAGTTATGTATGCACTTGGGAGGTTTAATTGGTAAGCACTCAAGAAGCTAGAACCGCACTCGGCAACTCTTATGCTTCTTTCGTGCTTAGCAACCTCCGGCGTGGATCCATAACTCCATGGTTGCAAGCTGCACGTTAACCATTTCTTAAATTTGTTCTATTCTCCCCCTGTGCCACCCCCATTCCCAACCCGTTAAAAAACGTGCATTATTTAGAAAAAACTTCATAATAAAAAGGTAACATTGCAGTGGGTTATGAGTGCTGGTGTTTCAGATGAATCTGTTTTCACAATCCCAAGTGAAGAAATGAACATAAGTACATGTATTTACTTCAGTTATGATGTTTCTATATTGTATTTCAAAACACAACAAGAGAGTCATAAATAAAAAAGCCTGTTGGGGAAGGGGGAGGGGGGGTTCTTCCTATAACGGCCTCTATGGTTAGGCTTTGTATGAATGGTGTCCCTTTAACCCTTTAAGCAACAGTATCCACATACAAATTTTCCAAACTGGTCTCCATACATTTCCTAAAGAATTAGTTGAGAGAATTTGATAATAGATCAATGCATTTTCTCTTGCGTGATCATTTTATTAATTCTCATAACCTAATCTCTTCACAATGTATGGATATTATTAGGAGAAAATTGATGTTGGTTGACCACTATTGGGACTTAAAGAGTTAAGGCTTCAGGTATAAGAAAGGGTAGGGACTAGTCAGAATATGAAAGAGTAGTGAAGTCTGTTATGTTATTCTGTAAAAGGCCTAAAAAGGCTTACAGATGCCTTTTTTGGCTGTGAAAAATTTGAGAAAATGTTAATTTTTGTGATGTATTCATATTTTAAACACAGTGCATTTAAAGTATTTAAAAGAGATGCAGGGTTCTAAACTAGGTATGTGAAAGGGGTACCAATGTTAATGGGATATGTAAGAAAGGGGCATCTTTTTTTTTTTTAAAAAAAAAGGTATATAAAAGATTAAGGGTTTGGAGGAACCTTCCCTTTGTTGATTACCCTCCCCTCCCCCTTGAGTGAAAAAGTAGATTTTTCATGGCTTTTATTTATTCTGTTTGAACAGTGATGAAGATGCCTTGGTTGTGTATCAAAATGCATCGTATCTGAAGATGACTGGAAATGGTTATGTTTGGTTAGTGACACAACAAACATTTTCAGGAGTTGCAAGAAATTATGTGCCACAAGGTGAGATGTTAGACATACGTGAATGTACCTGTAGATAGCTTAGATTGTGGAAACTGCAATCCTGGTCATAATTGTTGAAACAGTTGCTGATTTGTGGCCTCCTTCCCCTTCTACGAGGTACATGTCCACGCGAACCCGCCAAACAAACATTAGAGAAAGGAGAGGGAAGTGAAACATACGGTATTTATGGAACCTGATCAGGCAGTGTATGATGTTGTGTTTTCTAGAAGTGTTTCAACAAATTATGACTGGGATTGAAATAGAAAAGTTGGAAAAAGATATTTATATTACAAATGAGTTTCAAATCTATTACATGTCAAACTAAACGGTGTACACCTGAATTCCTTTAGGATATTTTATGTGTTTGAGACCAATCGCAGCAAAGATCAGGACTTATGAGCAAGCCACGAAACTACAAACTAATTGACTTTGTTGCTGTCATTTAGGTTTTCTATGCCTTATTGAATTTTCCCAGAAAGACAGTACTTGATTTTCTGTAAAAAAAAAAAAAAAAAAAAAAAGCATTTCCAGTGATTTAAATTACTGTTGCATTTCATTCTGGTTCTTGGTTCTCCTTGTTCATGGTTCGATAAAAAATAATGTAATTTTCTAAGAGCATTTGATCATGAAGATTTCAGGTCATATTTTCGTGCAAAAGCTCGCTTGGGGCCTGTTTGTCGAAAGTCCAGGTAACTTTTTGGGTCCGGAAAGCTGATTTGTTTTTGTTGTGTTTGCATTCAAGATCTAAATTTTGAAAATAATACAATGAAACTATCAATGAACGAAGCAAAATTGAATGGTTTGTGGGCTAGAAACTGTGCTATTATCCAACAGGTTTTGTTTTTAAAATTTGCATTCGGGCCCGAAAAGTTTCCGGGTCTTTCGAGAAACGAGCCTCTGGTATTTTATTGGTGGTTGTATAATAAATACATGTATCACACAGGTATGGTTGGAATGCAGTTGCCTCATGGCTATGATGAGCCTGCACAAATACAGGATGCGGTTAGTCTTGTTGCAACAGCCCTTAATACACTGTTAGCTACTGGAAGAAGCTTAACCCCACCTCCTTCCAGCTGCCGTGAAACTGCTCAGTGGGATAGTGGCAAAACTCTATTCGAGTAGGTGTCTTATTATTAGAGAGATTTAGGGCATCTTCACATGAGCTCGGTTGAACGAGCTGGCCCCGTTTACTGGGACCAACTTCTCTTTGGATTCATATGAGAAATTTTTTAGCCCGGCTTCCGTGATGAAAAAAGGCCAAGGATCCTCGGAACGAGTTCTGGCTCGAAATTCGATAGATAAAGCAAATACGGATAAACACAAAAATTCTAACTTTTGGGCCTACCATAGCTTTGACAACCCGTAAAGCTGTATCGATGCAGTTAAATGGGGTGCTGATGAGGTGGAAAACACAGTAAGCAATGCAAGACGACGCCATCCGGGCCGCCAGAATCCATCCCGCTTTCATCCCGGTAACCGGGCTAAAGTGTTCATATGGCAAAATTTTCAGCCCGCTTACCGAGAACCGAGATCTTGGGAATCGAGCCAGCCCGCCCTCTCATATGAACACATCGAAAATTTTACAAGGGATATATAGAGGTAAGGCGAGATCTCGGAAACCGGGCTCATGTGAAGAGGCCCTTAGAGTCATGTTTACGACAAATGGCAAAAGGCAAACGTCAGATCCAAGTTGAGAAATTCTCAAAATAGAAAATGAGCGGTTAAAAACAGCTCAGAACAAATTTCGTGGATAAAGTTGGTGTGAGTCTACTGATGTCCGTGTAGTTATAATGAACAGTAAACGACAAGTAAAGGGGAAACTTGTTAACGTGGTCAGTACACATTGATGTTTGTCGTCTGCAGTAAACTTGACTCTAGGAATGAAGTTAAAACAAGAAGTGATGTTTTCTTGTGATACCAATGAAATGTGAACTTCCTATAAATTTTACTCGCTCTGATTTTATTGGACATAAGTTATGGTGTGTGTCTAATCAGCCGTAAGCCTTACGGTACGTCATCTCGCCACCAACGGTGAATCGTCACCAAGAAGTCGACTCGCCACCAACGAATAACTCAGAAATAATTGGCACAGTTTGATACCTAGGATTACTTACCTAAGATCTTTACTTTTTCGTCAAGCTTATTCGAATTTAAAGTCGACCCAAATACAAATCTTTCGATCTTAACTGTCAATCCTTGCGTTGAACGTCTTATGCTCTTGTTAATCGAATACTGATATACACTTACAGGGTTCTGTGAATGTAAACTGTGACATTTGAAAGATTAAAAACTGGAAGAAACGTTTCACAATCACCGGTCATTTCCTTGAAATATGAAAATAAAGTAAAGGTTAATAAATTTCGGTTCATGAAGGTTCAAAACAATGCTAAGCTAAGTTCTATTCTGGTGGCGATTTCGTTGGCGAGATGGTGTGGCTGCGAGGTGACCAGATACCAGCTGTAAATTAAACCATCGGGAAAAAAATTCTTAAAGCTTAACCTGGCCGAGTACAGCCGTTTCTCTTCGATCCTCGCCGCTTTGGGACGCGTAACATCGTACATTGTTAAGCAACTTTAATATGCTACCATCTCCTTAAACTAATGTTTGAGGTTCAATCGTGACAAAAGTACCATTAACAGTACATAGTGTAACATACAACTTTAAAGGATATGTTTTGATGGACATATAGCTTTGACGATAATGAATTATAAAATTGAAATCAATTTATAATAACGTACTGTAAGTTCTGAAATAAAAAAATATATAAGGTAAGTGATGAAAATAAAATAATTATGGCATAAATTAATAATTGTAATAAATTATAATAATAGTTCATAGAGTAATAATTACAGCTTCATAACATTACTTATATTATCTTATAATGAAATTCAGTGCAGTCTAACTGAACGATTTTTGTTTTGTTTTTGCAGTGAGCTGGTAAATACCAACCTCACTAATGGAAAGACTGGTAACTTGATATTAAACAGGAAGGGTGATCGTTTAAACGCATTTTATCAGATCGTAAACCTTAAGAATGCTTCAACTGGTGCACAGTTAACGGTTGTTGGAAGCTTTCATAATGGTGAAGTATCATTTAATGATACAATTATTTGGCCAGGAGGACAAGACGAAAAACCGGAAGGAATCTTTGTTTCTACTCACCTGAAGGTAAAGTGATGTAGGGTATGTTCACAATTTACCTGAATAGCTCTTGTGCCGCGCGAAGACCATACCATGTAGGGCTTCTATTCGCACGTAAGAACAGCGATTTGGGCGCGGTTTCTGTTACGGAACGAAGCGGTGCAGCGCCGATCTTAATAGTGGATCGTCACAAATCTGATAGGTTTCTGCCACTCCTTGTTGCAATGTGAACAGGCGTTCGGAGCGTTGTACATTGAAATGAGTAGGAGCGAGGACTGAAACCCACTGATGCGGAAGTAAATATTTAGGAGTGAGGGCTGGGAGTTAGGCAAATACAAAATAAGATCAACCTAAGGGAGGTTTTGTGAGCCCGCGAGACTGAGCAACCCCCACAAACCCTTGTTTTCACGTAAACCGCTGAACACAAAACCTCCCCTCGATGTTACATTGTCACAACGTATGTGACAATATGTGCGATGTGTGTCAACGACTTGATCCAGCTCTGTGCCATTGCATAGTTGAATCACTATCTGTTTCGTATAGTGAGAAAAATGTATCGTTGAAGCCTTACTGAAAGCTCCCGGACAAACTCCAGGACAAACCTTTAATTCAAACAATTTTTTCTCTTTAACGCTTCTCTGAATTTAGTGAAAGAACCTGGCACAGTTACCGTTCTCTGAAAATTTAAGTCTGAAATAGCAATAATAATTACGTGATGTTAAAAACTCGACGGAAGTTTTTGCAAAAAAACATTTGGCTTTTTCTTTTTCCAGAAATTTTGTATTTTCTGATGTCTCATATCTCTTTACAAATGCAAATGAGTACATCACACAAAAAGCTAAATAGTGTATAGATTACAGTAGATTAAGTTTAACCACTACAATAAACACCTGCTAATAATAACCTGTGAATTAAGAACCTCCTGGCAGAAATTCTCCACATTAATACCTAAAAATACAAGAACCTGTTTAGCCAAGCAAGGTCAAGCAGTTTCTTATAATTATGTGGGTATTACGATAAACATTTTAACCAAGGATTGTAAATTTGAGTTGTAAATTAAAGTATAATAAGAGCATATTGTGCTAAGCTGTGTATAAATTCGGTAACCAGTTTTGTTAGGGTTACAATAATAAAATTGTGAATAATAAAAGTTTTCTTTATTCTTATGGTAAACAACAATTATCTCCTTCATAAGAATTAAGAACCTAATTAAGAACTTACTTAGCCTAAATTGCCAATGATCACCCCAAAGTAAAAGAACCTATTTTGCCAGACTTTAAAAAAAAAAGTAGGTTCTTATTAGCGGGTGTTTACTGTATTTCAGTTATTTGGATCTACTTTTACCTAGCATGACGTATTTTCTGTAAAATCCTTATGATGACGCATAATGCAAGCAATTACGTCTGAAAATATTTGCTCGTTAGGATACACATTTATTTACTGATTTGGTTCATTTCTGCAGGTGGTGACCTTGGTGGGTGAACCGTTTGTATTTATCAAGTCTATGCCCGAGAGTGGTAAGTGCAGCGATCTTGATGATTCGAACCAGAAGCGGAAGCACGTCAGATGTACTGGAAAGGTGTATGGAGAACATGCTAAACTGGTGTCTGCCGACCAGAATGAACACTGCTGTTATGGTATGTCAGTGAGAACTCTCAGTCATACCCTTCCTTTTCTCCACATGCTAACCAAGACTGGGCGGTGGAGCTCTAGGGGCAATTAAATAAAACTTTTACAAGTGTAATTTACAAGTGAAGCCATTGTTTTAGGGCCCGGAGACAATAGCTACTCTTGTAAATTACACTTGTAAGTGGAAAACTTTAGATTCGAGGACGAGGACGACATTTAATTTACGTTTTCTCCCCTATTTTCTAAAAATGGACACCCCGCAAAGCTTCATTGACTTTTTTTCACCACAAAAGTTAGTACGCTAACTAACTGAATAATAACATTTCTAACATTTAATGACTTGTTTTCGCCAGCACGATATTCTCGCTAAAACTCGTAGTGGAATGACGATGGCTATCACGTTTTCCCGCCCAAATGACGTTGGTTCGCGCGCGTGCACTACTTAGTATTGGGAAAATCTCGTTCTCGTAGTCGTCTTCGTCTTAGAATCCAGGAGCGTAGCTAGAGGGCGGGTGGTCCTGGGGTGGTGCCCGTGACCCCCCCACCCATGACAATATCTTGGCCGTAAAAGCCATTGTTGAAAAGCCCACTTTTTTAAAATTTGTTTTTTTGTAAAGTATTTTTGTCAACGGCTCTTGTCTTTAGTTAATATGGGCCTTCATGCCGCGATAATACGACTGAGCCCGCTGATACACGAGGGAGAGCAGCGGTATAAGCCATATATAGTCGGCGATCCCCGGATGGTGTCCTTGTTTGTGACCCCCGCTTTGAAAAATCCTGGCTACGCCCCTGGAATCTAAAGCTATCTATTAAATTGACCCCTGGATAAGGGAGAAGAGCGAGTGGGGATAATGTGATCGAGCGGAAAGCGCAAGGGAGGATGGGAAGGAGAAAAGAGGACAAAAGTTGTTTACCATTTACATATGTAGACTGACCGGTCGGTTCATGGTGTGGGTAAATGGCAAGCAAAATTTAGAACGGGAAAATTGCGCCCTGGAATCGCGTTTATCATTTTGCACAAATCAGGCATTTGCCGAAAAATGGCTGTGAAACCCTGAGCCGGGTACCAAAGATGGCTTTAAAAAAAATGGAACACGAATTTCCGTCTGAAACATTTTGTCCTGAAAAAGAGGACTACCTTTTCAGAAATTCCGTTGCTCCAGGACTTTTTCCACTGGAAGTACCTGAAATGTCGTGTTCCTTTAACTTTCCAACCGGATTTTCTGGAAACTATTTGTAAATGGTGAACAACTAGAAAGCAGGCCTTTTCATTTTTTCCATCTCGTCCGCTTCACTTGATCATCAACTAAAATGTCTTCAAAATAAGCAATCGCGAAGGACTTAGTGCGCGCCACTGAGCCATGCGATCAAAATATCTACGAGACACTGAACCTTCTAAGTGAAGAAACATGAAAGAGTGTCAATGGTCCAGTTTCGAGTTAAGTAACATTAGGGGTTATTTTATAGCCCTGCCACCTCACGTAGTATTAATTTTATCGATTTTGCAATTCATCTTAACATAATCATTTTTTGCGGTCGAGTGTTCCCATTTTGAGCTGGAATAGATGTATCGACATGTTGATTCACTTAAAGTTTGAAGTAGCCATGGGATTTCGCTACCGGAGCTCAATTAACGAAAATCTTTTCTCATATTTACCTCCAAACATTTTTAAGAATCGATTGTCCGTAGGTAAATTCTCTGTAATATAATTACAAGACACGTAACTTTAAAAATATGGTCATTTCGAAGTAAAAAAGGGCTTTACTTTTGCAAGGATATTGCTTGGTAAAATTACTTTCAGTTGGATATAGACCTCTGCAGTTGCCACCTTTGGATTTTGGATTATTGTTTTGTTCCTTTCTATGTCTTCAGGGTTCTGTATGGATCTTTTAAGACGCCTAGGGGAGAAGGTAAACTTCACCTATGATGTTCATTTATCTGAGGATGGAAGTTATGGTTCTCTTAGGAGGGTAAGTACAGACTGATGAAAAACCTTCCGAGGGCAACGAGGCCACGAAAATCGCTCCCCGTGGTTGCTAATAATTGTACTTAATATTTTATTTATTAATTTATTTATTTACCAGCTTTTCTGGACACAGGCCTGCCCAGAGGGAATGTGCACGAACGGGACTTGTAGGTCCCAAGCGAGGTGCCATCCCTGCCCAATCCCACAACCTGTAAACGTTGGCCACACTACGGGGGTCTACGACCCCTACTCTTTTCCAGTAGTCCCACAAGAACAAATCAGTGAAAGTGTTGTGAGACGGGACCTACGGTTTTTCGTCCTTATCCGAGAATACTAGAAAGTCTAACCATTTGTAGATGCCACTGCAAAGGCAGCACTTTCTCCTCAGTTATTTAAAGACCCTGAGTGTTGGTCCGGCCGGGGTTTGAACCCGCGACCTCCCACTCGGCAGACCGGCGCTCTCCCAACTGAGCTAACCAGGCGGCGGTCAAAATAATTTCATTGTCTTAAAGTCTAGACTCTAAAAAAGAGTTTCATAGTTGAATTTTCACCATTTTGCTACTCACGCTAATGATAATCTGTCACGCAGCCGTTCGTTTGTTTGTCGCGCAACGTTCCTTAATTTTCGGAAAGATTGCTGCGTGGGCGGGCCAGACAATGACTGCCTGGGAGACCAGCCTCATCGTAGGTTAGCAAAATCTTATAAATTCAACCCAATAACTCACTTATTACACGTGATAAGAATGTTCTGTAAATTAACAGGTTAATGGCACGGATACGAAACGCTGGAATGGCATGGTGGGAGAAGTGATTGATGGCAACGCAGACCTCATTGTCGCTGCTCTGACAATCAATAACGAAAGAGCTGAATGGATTGAATTTTCAAAACCTTTCAAGTATCAAGGACTTACTATACTTGTTAAGAAGGTAAAGAAGACCGTTTCTCTTGTTTTGTTTTGTTTGTTTTTTTGTTTGTTTTTTTGTTTTTTTATATAAAGTTTATCATGTCTCATGCGTGAAACCAGGCCGAAAGGTTTTTATTCCTGTCGACGAGATTCGAACTTTATCATAAATTTTTATCCTTCGCCCTGCGGAGAAAACTGTGTTGAGCTAGACCTCATTATTACTCCTATTTTAACGGCTTCTTAGTCTGTTTTTAGAGCCCAGAGCCGGTTTCCAGTTCATTTTGGCTGTATTTCTCCAATCAGTTGATTACACAAGCCACGCCCTCGGTCAGCTGTCTTTGTTCCATTTTAACCACCACAACCAGTTATCTAACACATACGATAGCAAAATTATCCTGCCAGGAGTTTCCGTTTTATTTGTTAAATTTGATTCCTTTACTCATTTTACTTATACCCCTGAATGCTACTCTGCTCAACCAGCACCTTCTCAATACCACAGTCTTCGCGACTCTGTAGTTAGGTATTACTGTGCAAGTATGACGTGGGTGTTACAAGTTATTCTGCAGTTATCGCTCTCCAGTATAGCCTGAGAAAACAGCCGACATTTCGCGACGCAACCACTGGTTTCCCCGCGAAATGACGTCTGAGAAACGACTGCAGAAATTCCATACTGATGAAACGACACTACCCTGACTTGGTTATTGCTTCTGATTGGCTGGAGCAAATTTTCCACGCGGCACGACCAATCAGAAGCACTACCCGACAGGTCATCAGTATGTAATTTCTGCAGTCGTTTCTCGACGTCATTTCGCGTTCGCGGAAAACCAGGGTGGTGTCGCGAAAAGTCAGCTGTTTTCATTAGGCTATGTCCAGTACAGCATTGATAGCACTAGTGTGGTTCAGGTACCTTTACTAAGACAGCTGATGCACCTTTCCCTTTAAAGGACCAAAGCAGAAACCGGCTGGACTCCTTCCTCCGTCCGTTCCAGATCAACTTATGGCTGCTGGTTTTACTCTCCGTCCACATAGTAGCTGTCATACTATACCTGTTAGACCGGTTTAGCCCGTTTGGCCGGTTCAAACTGGCCCGGAAAGAGAAAGAAGAGACAGCCCTTAATTTATCCAGTGCTATGTGGTTTTCTTGGGGAGTACTTCTGAACAGTGGCATCGGAGAAGGTTTGTTCTCAAAATCAGTAGTAATTTGGAAGACAAATGAAATCTTGAAAAAATAATAAAAACAACAGCAACAACAACAATAGTAGTAGTAGTAGTAGTAGTAGCAGTAGCAGTAGCAGTAGCAGTAGCAGTAGCAGTAGCAGTAGCAGCAGCAGCAGCAGCAGCAGCAGCAGCAGTAGTAGTAGTAGTAGTAGTAGTAATAATAATAATAATAATAATAATAAGTAATAACAATAATGTTTTAATAACAAGCTTGTGAGTGTGATCAAATGCATCTTGCGTATTCATGTAACCAATATACAGCTAATTCAATAAAGGTTGCTTTGGGCATTGGGAATTGCGCATTGGGAAGCTATTGTTTGGTGGTCACTCAAGTAAATCATTTCATTGTTCCATATGCGCAATGTCCAATTACCAATGACCAATTATCAAAGCAACCTTTTTTGATTTAGCTGTATACCTCTTTAATAGCCGAGTTTGAAGTCCGTGCTATAAATTACGGACATTTTTTTTTTCACACGGCGATACTAGTGGAATAGTATACTAAGAAATGGGATTTGGATCCGGGGTGTACTCCCTTAGATAATCTCTTAGAGAATCGCTATCGTAACGTGCTATTCGTTTTCCTTTTCTTCTTGTTCTTCTTTACAAAATACCAGTGTCACGTACAAAGTAACTCCTCAACGAGGACTTCCCTTTTTTCATTTCAGGGACGCCCCGTAGCTTCAGTGCTCGTGTACTCGGTATGGTGTGGGCAGGGTTCGCCATGATTATCGTTGCCAGCTATACTGCTAACTTGGCCGCCTTCCTCGTCCTTGATCGACCTAAAGCGGTGGTCAGCGGTATTGATGATCCAAATGTGAGTACTTTGTGTGAAAATCATATTGTCATCGATTTATCTTGGCAGGTTTCCGTAATACACAAGCTGAGATCTATCCTCGGAAATTAGGGAAAAAACCTCGGACACCGAGGGTAGCTTAGATCCTGGTTGAAAGCTTGACCTGACAGTGTTGGATCAAGTAAAACAGATGTAGAACACAGGAGAAAAAAGGCTCATTATACGTTTGTGGGAAAGTACCCACCTACCCTTGCCCTAACCCAATATTAACACTTGCTTCCCCCTTGGGGCAAAATGTTGGCTTAAGGGAGGGGTACGTGGGCAGTTTCCAAGAGACGTGTAATGATGGTCAGTGTCGATCTCCTTCGTAGCCGTTCTTTATTCCGTCAAGCAGTGCTTTTCCTTTTTGCGTAAGAGACCGGATCACAAGGTGGATGGACATAGAGCAATCAAAAGCCACCTCTTACACCCACTAAACTAAAATCATTATTCAACTATAATGAAAATGGTAGCATAAAATGATTTCTGTTGCTAATAGTCGTCAAGCATTACCTGTACAACACCATACACTTCGACCATATGGAGAAAATTTACGAAGATGATTGATTTCCTAAAATTTTCACCAACTGAGAACTTCCATTACTCTAATAGCAAAATTGAACATCACTTTTGCAAATGTTTTTGGCATTAATGTTGATTGACCAGTCCAAAATGTTCACGGCAGTCTTAAATGTTCAGTTTTACCTTATTTGCCGAGTGTGGGGTGATCTTCGCAGTTTAGCCCCGAGCTGTTTGATTCAATACTCACCGTCTAAAGGTGATTATTATGTACTTATTGACTGACTGGGAGGACTGGACGGGAAATTATTTGGCTCGAGACTGAGCGACCTGACGGAGGGCCAAATATCTTCACGACCGGCCCGACCTAACGTAGTCGGTAAGCATGTTATCGTATGCCTGTTGTGTTTTTTAATTTTTTCTGACGGAGCTAAACCGCATGGTATCAGTGCGCTTTTCTAGGAGAACCGTATGCCCCATCACTTAACGCGTGCGGCCCTCATACGGGACTTTTCTCGTATAGTTTTCCAACGAAATTTCGAGCGGGGCCGTACGGTTCATATGATAAAGCTTGTTTTTGTATTTGTTTATGTTTAGTTGCGCAACCCTTCTAAAGAATTTAAGTATGCCACCGTAGCCAACAGCAGTGTAGATGCTTATTTTCGCCGGCAAGTCGAGCTGTCCTCCATGTACACCTTCATGGAAAAATATAACGTGAAGACTGCTAAAGAAGCTATACAGAAAGTTAAGAACGAGTAAGTTAAATGAAGTCGTAAGCTGTGTTTGTGGGAGATCATAAAAAGGGACGATTTTTGTACACATCAGATGTTTGTATGTTCAAACACCTTCAAAGAGGGAACTGGAGCCGAAATTCTTCCCGCAAATGTTTCTGGGATAGTTACTGGGGACGCGCTGGTCAGCTATGAGCCAATTTTTTCCTATCCCTAGGAACAGTTTTAGAAGTCTTTGGGACAGGTAACTCGGCCCAGTTTTTTTCTCGTTGAGCCAAGGGTGGGAGAAAGAAAGGTCTGAGGGATGTGTGTGTGGAATTTTTGTAACATTTTTTGAAACATAGAGGCAAGAAATCAAAACGCGATTGCAGGAAACACTTAACTCAGTAATTAAAGTAGCGTTTTTATTAGTGATTAAATTACCGAGTTATATTTTAAGCGTTGGCTTGCTCAAGAGCTTGATTCATCAGTTATCTATGTGACATCGAATGCAGCGTTGAAAGCCACGAATTTGTTGGTTTGGTCTTTGAAAACTCAGTGCTGTGTTTAAAAGCTGGATTTGTGAAAGGCCGTTCTTTTTAAATTTTGCGCTGTCATTTTCAGGGAATTGAAGGCGTTTATCTGGGACTCACCTGTGTTGTTTTATGAAGCTTCCGAGGACTGCACGCTAACTACTGCCGGGGAACTGTTTGGACGATCAGGCTACGGAATCGGAATGCCTAAGGTACAGTCAAACCCATTTTACGAACACCCGCTTTATAAGGACACCTCACTATTACGGACAGTTTGGTTTGTCCCTGGGGAAATAAAGCCTTTATATTTTCTCTAAATTCAACCCGTTTAATATGCCAAATAAGTAGTTTTTATCAAGGTAGATTGGCCACCGTAGCGGGATTGAGATGTTGACGTTTTTAGCCTGCGAGTAGGCTCACTTGTGCGAATTCGGCGAAATTTTTTCTCGATGGCAGCTCTGCCGCCAAAATTTTCCCCAAATTCGCACAGGTGAACTTGCTCGCAGGTAGGTTATTCCTGGTGTTCTGATAGTAGAGCGAGGGCGAAAAATTGACTGGAGGAGACTACAGAGGGAAAAGGGAAGGGAACACGTACGAATTAACTCGCTCCCCACCATTTGAACGCCTGGAACAGGCTAGTTCGAAGACTATGACGTTTTGAGCATTTGTCCTTCTTAAAATGGCATCCCGTCTAGAGTAGGAGACGTAAAAATTTTGTCCTTTCGTGCTAAGAATATTGAAATTGATAATGTGGTAGGTAGTGAGCTATTTTGTTTAACTTTCCACTCTTTTTTTTATCAGGGTTCTCCTTGGAGTGACGATATATCCCTTGCTATTCTCAACTTTCACGAGAGCGGCGTGATGGAGGAATTGGAGACCACTTGGATTGACACCAAGAAATGCGCTGAACAGAGTAATTCGCCCGCCACGCTGGGGCTCAACCATATGTTAGGTATGAACTATCGACTTGATCTGGTCCCAGTTGTTCAAAAGCTGGACAGCGCTATCCACCGGATAAATCACGATCCAGCGGATAAGCGTTAAGGAATCCAATTGCGCTATCGCGTGGATAGAGATTTATTATATAAACTGCAGTGTTTTACAAGGATTTCTACTACCGAGAAATGTGTTATCTGAACACACGTAAAAATACGATATTTTTACATGTGAAGATATCGATAATTTCACTGACATCAGGTTTGTCTCTTAAATTGTACTTAAATTCGTTGGTGTATTATCGAATCATCTTCGAGTCTTCCTCGAAAGTGCTCGGCAATCTTCGGACATCTTCGAAAATTCTCGGGAAATGTTCGGGAACGTTCGTCTGGTCTTCGGGACAATTTGAAAAATCTTCGGAAATCTTCGGAAGGTGGTCGGAAATCTTCGGAAAATCATCAGAAACGCCGTCATCAGTATGTTTATATAATAAAAAGAATATTACACGTTAGCTCGAAGATATGAATTTTATGTTCTTGCCACTCGAACATAAAATTCATATCTTCTCGCCACCGTGTAATATTCTCTATTTATCCGGTGGATAGCGATATCCACCTTTTGAGCAACTGGGGCCTGATTCCTTTTCCACGAAGTCCGACATAATCAGCGTTGTTTGATCAAATTGGGCGTTGCTGGGTCTGATTCGTTCTAATAAATCCACCCTCCACAAAATAAGTCGTTGTATTCCAAGCGACATTACCAGAATTTCGTGTTATGTTTCCAGCAAACCTTGGCATCTTTGTGCTTGTTGACTTGTAGGGAGGGTGCTTCGGCTAACGGGTTCATATGGCTAGCAGTGCTAAAACTCGGACATTCATCATTTTCTTTCGGTTATTTTACAGTGGAACCTCGATTTAACGAATCTGTATGCAACAAAGACCTCGGTATAACGAACGATTTTCTCTTCCTCAGCAATAGTAAAATATATAAAAAAAAGGAACCTCGATATAACGAAACCTCGTTATAACGAACAAATTTGTCAGTCCCTTCGTTAAATCGAGGTTCCACTGTATATAAAGCTCGCAATAACAAACAGCAAAATAGACGTTGAACTTAACGATGGCTGTTCTTAGTGAAGGACGAAGGACGTCATCCTAGACGGCACCCCCTCACCCACGCGATCATAGCCTGTTCCAGGCTCTCAGATAGTGGGAGAGACGCGACTTTCCTGTTCGCGCTTTCTCAATCCCCGCGGACCCGTCTATCTCGGAGCCTGGAACAAACATCAGTATTGCAGGGCATGTTTCAAGGCGACTTTAGGTGTTAAATACCAGAAACAATTTTAGGTTGTATTCGCCAATTTTGGCATCCTCTATAATGCACCTTGTTTGACTTCGAAAGTTTTCCATAAGCATTCTCTTCAATTTCTCTTGGGATGACTTTAGTACGAAGGAGAAATTAAAAACAAGGGTTACGGATTTTTTTTTTCAAGGGGGTACACAAAGTGTTTTATGGATGATGTGCAAATGGAGAATGTGTTCAAGTACAGTTGGCAACAAGATCCTTTTTTGTTTCTTATCTTCCAGGTGTGTTTATAATGGTTGCTGCCGGAATTGGAGCTGGCATCGTGATCATCATCCTTGAAATCCTGTACCATAAGCACCGTGGCTGGAAGGAGGAGCAAAAAGAACTGGCTAAGAAGACAACGGACAAGTGGCGCGCAAACATTATGATGATGAAAAAGGAACGCACAACTAACGGGGGCCAACCTGTCAATGGAGTCCTGGACTCACACTCGCCTCATAGTGATGGCATAGCACGCAGGAATCCCATCTACAATGCTGACAATCACGTGGACGGCACGTTCTCTTATAACTAGCCGACCGGCAAAAAAATGTGCTCTGCACGTGCAAAACATGTTCCTTTGTGGACGGTAACGTGTAAATATGGTATTAACTTAGGAGTTAGGTTCTTGTTGTAAATTTGCAATGACATAACTTTGAAACGGATCATTGGAGGGACGACCGGCGTGGGTAACAATAGCCCCCTTCCCCTCTCTAAATGAAGAAGAGAAAATTCTTACAAACGAATTTTGCCTCAAAAAATTCTGCAAGCGGATTTGCCTAACAATTGTGTAGACAATGACAAGTAAAAACTCCTGCACCATTAATTTTAACACTCCTTCTAGTTATTTCTAATGGCCCACGTTCGATATATCAAAATTTTAACATGACTCCGAGGCTTTATGGTCAAAATTGCAATTTTTCACTACTCCATTGTGTCGCAATTGCCAGAAGAGACCTGAGCACAAAGAAAACCAAACCAAATATAGAAAATGACCAGAGAGCCTCGTAGTCATGTTAGAATTTTAATATATCGAACGTAGGCTATTCGCCGCCCCTTACCCCAACAAGATACATATGCTTGGCTTCGTATCTGTATGATCACTAATTCGCGAAGCAAATATAGTCACTTGAAAATGACTTGCTGTTGCAGATACATTAAATTTAGCTGTATAAGTAGATAGATTTACCACGACTACGGAAGGTTTTGCAAGCCTCTTATTTATTTATTTATTTATTTATTTATTTATACTTAAGAGTAAAGGGTTGTAAAATATACATTATATGTCCTGTTTCGAATTTGTAAACCTTTCCGTAAATCCACTCCATTCCAGCAAGTACACACAATGGAACGAGGTCGAGGCTCGGCTGGACGATTTCATTCAAAACTTCTTTATTTTGGGTGCTTTTTGTTCACAAGAGTGCTGAAAGAGTCTATTCCCCCGAAGGGGCACTTCCTTAAAAGAGTCCATACGGGGAGGTACCTACTTCCTCTCGGGAGGGATTTCACCAGTTGAAGTATATAAGAGGGTAGGGAAATCTGTCATTTCGACCTGTAAAGGACCGAAAATGGCAAACAGAAGCATGTTATGGCTGTGAAAAAGTCAAAAAAACCTCATGGCGTAGTGATTTATTCATTTTTAAGAAGACAGTACATTTACAGAAACTAAAGGGGATTTATCTTTTAAACTTGTGAATGGGGTACCAATTTTTTGTTTTTGTTGTTGTTGTTGTTGTTTTTTTTTTTTCAGTAGAAGGTATACGAAAGGGTTATCTTTTCTGTCAAAAAATTGCCTGTTTCCAGCGTGGAAACAAAGTTTTTCCCCCTTAAATCGATTCGTAGATCAATCGGCTAATGAAACTGAAGTTTAACAAATGAAATAATGCGTTATGTGTCGGTATTACTCAAAGGCGTAATGTCTTTCGAACGGAACGTTACGTCGATAACAACTCTACTGTTGAGTAGGAGAAGTGTAATTTTGACTGTTTAGACATCTATTTATTTTACACGCTAATGTATCTCTAGGGCAGTGGGATGATGTACACTGTATACTGCTGTTGGATACTGGTAAAAGAACATGTTACTGCTCAAGACGTCTATTAATTGGGCAAGTAAATTCTAGATTGGGGGGAAGGGGTGGGGGTGAGGGTTTATGGGATGTAATGGAGGTGTAGTTAGCAAGTCATGGGGAGTTGGGCAGCAAGAAAGAGTAAATTAGCTGAGCTAAAATATTTCTAGTGAAAGGAAATGCGGTATTTGTTAATTGCAATCGTTACTAATAAACAGTTTTTCGGAGCCTAGCTTTTTACATCACAGTAAAGTGAACAGTTCTCTGGTCTGGATTTCTAGATATTAAAAAAAGGTGTTATATATATGCACACCGTGAATAAACAAATGGACAACGAAACTGAGTGGTTTTCCGCTATTTCTATGTAAGTGTCTCCGTTTCTAACATTCATTTACGGAGGTTGAAGTAGTTTTTGGAAAACCTTTGTCACACACGTGCCTGGGGACTAACGAGGTTGCAATATAGTGCGGCAATCATTTCTCTAACTTTTGGAGGACTAGCTCAGTTGGTAAGGTGCTTAGCTACAGTCAGCGAGGGGTCAGGGGCTTGACCCATGGGGGCCGGAGCCCAATTGAGAAATAATGCTACTGTTTTTGCCCTGCTAGACCTTCGCGTGGCTCGAATGACCACGTAAGGTGGCGGTCCCGTCTCCAGTAGCAAACGTAAAATATAGTGTTCCCAATTAGAAGATTTCGTGCTAAATACATTAACATTCAAGGTTCGTCTTTTATAGTACGATCGCGTTATTCAGACAGCAATAAATTCGCTAATTCGGGTAAAACACTGAATTTTAGGTCAGTTATGAATAAGCTCGCCTGAAAGACGTTGAAACGGAGTTACATAGGCATGACCGATTTTTCTTATTTATCCCCTTTATTTACCTTGTCTTGTTTTTTGTTTTATTGTGAGGATTATTTTCTGTTCTTGTGTTTGAATTGTTGAATGAATCAATAAATAAAAATAGATTTTAAATAAATGAAACGACAGGGGTACTCAAAGTCCCGGTACTTTTCGCAAATATTCAAATCACGAAATTGAACCAAATGAATAAATAAATAAATAAATAAATAAATAAATAAATAAATAAAACGACTGGCCCGTTAGACTGCGGTGGAGGTTAATACTGGAGCTCTACAAGAACCCTTTAAAATATTACCGCCCCCCAAATGGGAACGAAATTTATCATATGCGTTTATAAGCTTTTAACAACATCCCCCTGGTATTAAATACTTTCAGACAAATTTTGTATATCAAGTTTTCTGATTTGATTAAAACAGTCACGTGAGTGGATTGATGACAGTGGGACTGTTATCATCACAATGGCTTCTGTGATGGATTGGACATAGCAGATCTGCTTGATCCAGGCCTCTATAAGAAAACAACAACAAATAAATACAACATTTTAAGCCTTTGCAAACATGTATATTTAGATTTCTTGAAAAACGCGACCGCAAAACACTAAACAACTCTATATGGCCAAACTGTCTCACTACTTACATGAACAGATGGACACCTTTTTCAGATGAAAGATAAAATTTTATTCTGCCATTAGCACTGGATTATAAAGACGTAGAGGAGGCTAGGCTAATTCGTCATTTGGCATCTCCCATAATACACCTTGTTTGGCCCCAAACTTTTGCATAACGCTGTCTTCAGTTTCTGTTGGGACACCTTAATACCCAGGAACAATTAAAAAGCAACTAAAGGTTATGCCAGATGTTGGGAGGCAAACAAGGTACATTACTGTAGATGTGCAAATAGTAAATGAGAAAGAATTTCCAATCATTCTGGTCTCCATTTTGTTGACAATACGATTCTGATTTGACTCCCTTTCATCCTTTCTATCAATCCTTGCATGTTCCGCTCTGTTTCTAGTGCCATCAGCATTTACTAACTGCTGAAGAGTCCAAGGTCATAGGCATTCGCAGTGTAAGAGGCGTATTATCGCGCTTAGCCGTGAAAGTGCAATATTCAATTTTTGCTTGCAATAGGCTGTTTGAAAATTTATAGCAACACGGTTCTGAGGGTTTCTGAGATGGGATACATAGTTGGAGTGTAACCCTGCATAAACGGCGGATGTAATATAGTGGAACCTTGATATAACAAACCTCTATATAACGAGGTCCTCGGTTCAAAGAACGATTTTCTTTATCCCCTGGCCAGTAATAAAAAATTCTGTGGAAAAGGACCTCTCTTACAGCGAACAAAATTTTCGAGTCCCTCGGCCCCTCATTATATCTAGATTCAACTGTATATCTATGCCACTGATATTATATGACCCTGGAGGGTCGTGGGTTCGAAGCCCATCTGGGGCTCAGATTTTTTCTGTGTCCTCTTATTGTTGATTCATTATATATCCCTTTATTCTCTTTATCAACTGTATATCAAGCACGATAAAGGGTGTTTTGTGGGAAATTTAAACACTGGGGAAGTTTAGACTGCGACCAGTCTCTCAACCTTTTTTCATTTTTAGGCTCTGAGGAAAGACGGACGACCGCTCGCGGCCCATGAAAAGTTGGTTGAAACAGCGAACTGCAGCGAGGTGACGCCGAGAGTTTGAAGCCTCCCGGAAGTAGGGTTTAAGTACTCACCAGGCTGCCATTTCTCGTGGAAAGCGTATCCTTGGACAGGTCATTGTAGTTTTGCGGAGACAATGAATGTGTGTTGAATAGGTCACGTGACTCTGACCAAATCTTCTTTTTTCTGTGGAAGACCCTTCGCACCTAGGAAGAGATATAGCATATTTAGGATCAATACAAAGCTATTTCTAGGTGTAATACTATAGTCAATAGTTGGCTTTCAGTTGTTATTCACTAAATGCGTGGCCATGTACAACACTTTAAAATGCAACTTTAAACGTGACCAATGACCAATGAGATCGCGAAATCTAGGGACTGTCAGAATAAGGCCTATACATATATATGCAACTGGTAACGTTTTTTGCTCTGAAAAACTGTTTTTTGTAATGTTCAACTTATGGGACCACACAAAATGCAATATTACTGCAATCCAAGGTTTGATTATCGCTTGAAGTAGTTTCTTTGGTGTTGCGGACGAGTAAGATCTCTAGATGTTGTAATACCGAAAGATTGAAAGGACTATGAATATCACAGAAAAAAACTTGCGAACTAGGAATAGTTTCTGCAACACTAAGAAACACTCCTGAAAAAGACGATTCATCTAAAGATGGCACTTTGATTGGAGAAACTGATTTCAGTTTGCATTTCTTGGTTAGGTTGTTGCCCTTGAAAGGACTTGTCGCGTATAAGGGTGGTAGTCACCCATTTATTTTCCTAGTTTTAACATTGTCATGCACGTTTTACCTCAAAAATTCTTATATTTTGCATTTCAAATAAAAACATGATGCAATTGAGTTTAATCGTCATATATATAATCATAATGTATTCAACTCGAAATACTGCCCAAAAGTGGGTTTCGATTCGTACCGTCCATAGCAGACTATAGAAAAAGCTCTAGGATGACTATACACTTACACTTGTTGCGTTATTAACCTTCCTTCCTTCCTTATCCTAAGCATGGTTAATTGAGTGGAATGGTTATGAAACCCGTCAGACGCCTTTGTTATATGTTTTTGTGGACCTGAAAGTGCACAACGTTCAAAAGAATTCCTATCATTTTGATTGTATTGACCAATAAAAACGTTGCATTAATTTATTCCGTAACAATTTGCCGACAGAAAACAAAGGATTGTGCACTTTCACGGTGCTTTGAACATAAACTGCAGCACTGTTGTTTTTATCATTGATGTTTGCCGCTTTTCATAACCAGTCTCCTCTAATAACTATGTCCTAAGAAGTAAACTGGCATTACTAACCTCTGAATTCAGAAGGCAATGAAAGAGGAAGATAAAGAACCCCTGTAAGAAAAAAAAATCTATGCTTCAAAAATAGTACAGGCAATTGTGTATGCAAGAGTCACTCAAGCCATGAAACGGATGTTATCGACAGAGTTCCTGTTATATTAAGGGACGGACCATTAGAAAGGTTAAGGGGGGGCGGGATTTTCGAGGCAAAGGAATTTTTTTTCGTCATCAAATTCCTTGTATGAACTTTCTTTATTGAAACTTTGGTTGGATGTCCCGTAAGGTTTCTGAGACCATTTTATCTAAACCAAAATACGTGAGTTTTATCCCACATATATTTCAGACCTAAACGCTTAAGTAACAAATGCTACAAAACACCCTGAATTGCAGATTTGACAAGGCACAAACTTCTGCTAATGTTTTAACCGTTTGGGTCTAGCCCTGTTTGAGGTCTTAACTGCCCAAAAAAGGGTCAAAACCATACCCTTTGAGCCACAGTTTACATAGAGAGGCTGTCCCCAGGCTGTGGACATTGGTACATATTGGTAACATAATAGTTTTTATGTATTTCCTATGTGGTTAGCTCACTTCTACGGACTACATTCTACATTCTATTTCAACTACTACCTGTTCATCTAACGATCGGTGAGAACCATGTCCTTCTCTTCTGACAGTAGTAAAATTAGTTTCAAAATACATCTATGAAAAAGAAGGCCGAACAGCTTTCCGACTGGAACCGACGGATAGATAAAGCATAAGTACAGGGTTTTTACGTAACGAAAAGATAACGGTAATGACTACCATTGTGCATGACGTATACGAACCTGTAGAGAGTTGAATATGGCGAATAGATACTGGAATGCAAGCGTTTCACTGTTGAACGTCAATACTCCAAATATCCACGTGATGCCCAGTAATGGCAATAGAACAATGGCGGATTGAACACCTGACCTGTCACGTTATAGACAAAGACCAAGTTGATCAAATAAATTTATCCATCCAAGAAAAAAAGCAATATCCAAGAGATTCAAGTTCAGTGATTGAGGTTTAATGTTGTTAACATAAGTCGCAGATTGTTATTTTTTTATGAAGAATGCATCTTTGGCGATTATATTTTATGCGTTCTAATTCAAAGTCAGGATTGACTTTTAGTGTGATAGAGCTAAATCAAAACGTTCACGTTGCGAAGAAGAAATTAAAAACAATGACAGAAAGAGTATTGAAATCTTTTTTATTTCTTTCAATGGCGGTTTATTCGTCTCTGAGATCACAGTTCTTAAAAGTGAGCCAATTCGTTGTATAGTTGCTGGCTTACCTTGCTGACTGGTATTTAGTCCCCTCTATCGTTGTTGGATGATTTAGCCTTAGTATTTCCCTCACAACCATCCCCAGTATAATTGAATTTGCCTAAAATCCAACACAAAACAAAAAGACTTCAGTATGACTTTTGTTATAAAGTAAAAAAACAAACAAGAGCAACAAATAAAACAAATATGCTTCTTATCTATTTGCAGTGGATATAAAACTGCTCCATTAATAGAGTTTTCGAGCATGGAAAACATTTTGCCTAATCGACTACGAGTAGTGATATAGCTGACACTCTATGCTTCATTTAAAAACCACATTATACATAAAACATAAATAGTTAGTATATATAAAAATTGTACTAAGTGCGCATGTCTTTTACAACGTACTCAGGTAAAGTTTTCCGATTGCTGGGTCTCATGCTCGATGAATCGCACAGGAACAAATTCCGATTCTAAAGAGATACGATAGACTCACTATTTCTACGGGGTGAACAATAGACAGTATGTTGCAGCTTTCAGGAGATGCCGCTTTAGCAGCTCAAGTCTTTGACCTTACCACAGCAATAAGCAACACCGGTACTACAAAGCTCCAAATTGTGCCCTTCTGTACAGACAACCAACAGCTACAAGAAAACATCACAAGACAAAATCATTGTTTGTTTGAGAAAAAATAGGCGATAGAGAGAATGGATTCTGGAACATCTTTCTACAGTCTTATTCTCTAAACAATCACTGAGATGAAATCGAGCGCCACCCAAATGATCTATCACGGATAGATTAAACTAAAAATGGCAACTTATGACGTAATCGTGGCGTCAATGCTGTTGCTAAGGACAATCAAAGGGTTAATTTCTGAATTTTATCAAATACTTTGCTGCTTTACTGTTTTAAACCATTTTGACGAAAATTTTTATAAATCGTAGGTCTGGGTATTATACGATAATTATTCTTCAAGTAGGTAAAATCGTTGTGACGTCAACTGACGTTATAATTACATTAAATTGTACACAGTTGCCTTAGCTCTAACAAGGGCAAACCCAATCAATTGAAATTACAAGGCTAACTTGTAAAGGGTATGTTTCCCGTAGGCAACAACAATGATGTTTGGGCTATGATTTTGTAACGTTTCCTCAATTATCATTAACATTCCTTGAATTTCTATGATTGTGATCATTCTGTACTAATAGTTAAGCAATCCTTTTCGTCAATTCGCATCCTAGAAAACCTCAAAAGAGCCTTTTTAATCATTATCAAATGTGAAGCAAACCTTCTGTCAGTTCCATATCCGTCAAAACTTGCTGAAAAAGTGATAACCACAAATACAAAAGGAATTCCTGCAAAATCATGGATAGAGAAATATAGCATGCAACTCAGGAAGTGAGCATGCAACACATAATATCAAATCAAACTACCGAAGCTTAAGGTATGTTCACGCTATACCGCGGGATAGCTTTGGCGCCGGTACAAAAACCATACCGCATAGGGCTCTGTTCACACATAAGAATGGTGATTTTGGCGCGATTCCCTAAACGGAGCGAAAATGCGCTGGTGCCTAAAATGGAGAGTCACATATTGGATAGGTGTTCATACTATACCGGACAGTCGGGAATCCGGAGTATTGTGTAAATTAACATAGCCTCAGACGCTCCGTTAAATTGTTGAAAAAAGAATGAATCGTCTTAACTTACCCCAAGCAGAGGCGCTGTATTTCTTCATTCTGCTATGTCCGCTTTCAAATACTCTTACTATCATAAGATATAACCAGATCCCTTCCACTAACATCCAGGTAAATGATACAAGGTTGAAGTAATGAAGAAAAACTGCCACAGTCTTGCAGGCTGCCTGTTGTAACGCACAGAGATAGAATGATTTCCAGTGAGATTTTGTGAGAGATAGCGTCTACTGCAAATTTCCTGTTTCATTCATTTAAGGTTCAATCCGTGCGAAAAACTATCCCAGCTCACACGTTTACATGATAGGTTGGGTGATCTGTCACATGATACCTCACCTATCTGGGGTCCCCCTCCTCTATCTAAACAGGCCCTTATTGTGACCTTCCTCAGGATTTTGATGCTAAGGTGCAGGCACGCTCACGTCACACGCTTCCACTTTGAAACAAATAATCAATTTAGCACGCCAAGTTAGCACGCACTTTTGCTTTAGAGGACACACTTGAGGCAATTAAGAATGCGCAACTAACAAAAGACCGTCTTCTTTTCTTACAAATAGCACAACAAGCTTTCCTTATTTCGAAGAAATATGTCTGCCGTAATAAAAATATCCACACACTAAGAGAAATACCTTGTTTTGTGTGGCCTCAATTCCAGTGAGAAAAATAATCTGAGTTACTGCCAAAGCTGAAACAAGGTTAAGATGTATGATGCTTGTCTCTGATCTCATCAGCCTAATAAGACGGTAAACGAGGGGCGTTAAAAAGGCCTACTGTAAATTAAAAGTAGGTACTCCGCAATGGTTTCTGTACTAAAATTTTGTAACATGAGGTAAGAGTTCTCGACCTTCAACGTCTCTATTTCTTCTTCTCTTTCTTTCCTTTTTCCTTTTCTATAATTCATTCGTCGGCCCCAATGGCTAGTCTCAGATGTTTTTGAAATTAGTAGTATGCAGCAAAAGTTGCAACAATTGTAATTAGAAGAACCTTAAGTTAAGAGAAGCACCCTGATATTCCCACCTTTCACTAGAAAAATATCATAAAGCATGGTAGGAGAAGTGTTTACATAGTACTTGGCATGCTTAACCCTTTCAATGCCAAATGTGGCCAAAGGCAAATTTCGACCAAATTTCCAATTTTCATTGTTGACAAACAAATAGCACCATGAGAAAGTACAGGCAGGGTTCATTTGAATGGTCACATCATAGGATTTCGTCCACAGACTCAAAAGTTAGAGTCACCTTACAAAACTCCATCAAACACTCTGGCAGTGAAAGGGTTAAAAGTATTACAAATAGCTCAAGCATCCACCTACATGAGGTATTTAAAAAGTTCCTCACTGATCTTAATTTCTTGAACTTTTCACAAAAATGACTTAGCAGTTACCGCCTTTAACGTTTCACCCACGGAAGTGCTTTTCTCGATTGTGTTAAGGATAATAGCTTCTCTCAATCTGCTCAACCAATTCTGTTAGTCCGTCTGTTTTTGATATTATAACCATGTTCCAAAGTTCTTGTCAAACACTCAGAGCTGGTTTTTGTTTTGTCGAGTAGGATTTTCATAAGCCTCTCATATCGTGCTTAAATTCAGTACTGAACTGCACTTACTTTAGACCGATGAGGGTGACAATTGTAAGAATCTCTCCCAGCAATGATAAGCTACAGCCAACATAAGTAATGATCTCTAAGGCTCGTGTATGGCCCTCGTCGCTAGGATGATCCACCTTTAAAAGTAGAAGTCATGAAAATCTTACTCCCTTTTTGTCAAAGGCTTTTATGTTGGTAGGATCAAACAATAGAAAAGCTCGCTAGATTTAAAAGTTCCATTCTAAATCGTGGAAGGGTCAATTGTACCTCCTTGTCATTAGTGACTCTCATGAGTACAGCGAAGTGAGTCAGGTGATTACAATGGCACACAGTAGCGCGATCACTTGACATCTGCTTTTCTTTGTGGCATCCTTCAGTGGACCAGTATCCTGTTGAGTTACTGAGGCCAAAAAGAAGATGTGCATCAGTGTCATAGAGAATACTGTAAATTGACGAGTAGGTACCCCGTTACAAATACATTATGAGTAGTATAGCGGGGAATGATTGGGCCCTCCTTTTGAATGGAATCTAATTCACAGTTTAAAGTGGAAGAATTTGATGTTTTCTTTTTTCTATCCTTACTATTTTACAATTATTTTGCTTTTCTTCATCACCACCACCATCGACGCATTTTAGTTTTTCTTCTCAATCTTCTCCTACACCAAGATCCCTTCTTTTCGTATACTGGGTGGGTGTGCATTGATTCCGTATTGAGTTTTTACTACCATCAACGGACGTGCTACAACTGACTTTAACTATCAAGATCACTAAATGAACAGATTGTCGAAACTTAATTCAATGACTTTTGATAACAGCCCTATTTGGGACTACATTCGCCCAAACGATCATATTCTAGGCTGTATCTATTTACTTTGTCCGGCGATGGATACCAAAAACACCTCCCACGTTCGAGATCGATCGAAATTTCGCCGATAGTAAATGATGGCTAACTAACACTTAGCATACTCCTAGAATGCTATTGAGACCTGACGAAAATTTGGAATCTTCCTTTCAAGGGTGGCACACTTTTCGCATAACGTACATTTTGAGAAAACAGAGGAGATAAGAGAAATATTTAAGTAGAACGTTAGGTCCGTTTACCTGTCTGCGTATCTCCAAAACGCGCACACCATTGTCATCTTGTCTGTTGTCATGAACTGCAAGGCGCAAGCAAGCAGTTCCAACATAAACTTAAGAAGTGAAATCCCTACAATTCATATTAGCTATTTTTTTGCTAAATTCAATTAAAACATTTCATCAATCAAAAGCAGGGGATTAAATGGTCTCCTATCAAGCAATGATCTTGTTCAATTTGTGAAAAAATAGGACAAAGCATTATTTTCAGAAATGCTTTATTGATTAATGTTGTTCTAATTCAAGGAGTGCCAAGTGTAAGCACTTATCCTGAGTCCTTTAATTCGTGAATGATGACTAAAGGGACGCGAAAACAACGTTCTAATTAGTACAGAACAACCACAACTAGCCAAACATTTAGGTCGAACAAATGTATTTTTTAGCAAGGGGACCTCAACCCCACGACCCTTAATGGGACTTGCGATACCCAACATTTAATCTGGCCCCATTCAGGAAGTATATATTTTGCGGCAGTAGAGTTTTTACTGTCTTGAATGTACCTGTGTATGTTCAAGCCGTATGGTCACGTTGTATTCAAGTGACTTGTTTCCAGGACGAAATACAGACCCTGACATGATTTTACTGTTCAAATGGTATGGTGTTCTTTGAAGTACATTACTTTCACTGCAATTTCAAAGAAGTAATTATTGTAAATTTTGTTCAATCTTGTTTCGAGAATCACGTGATTTAAGGAAGATTACAAAATTTTTTAAAGAAATAAAGTTCTGAAAATTTTGCTACATAATTATTTTCTGTCACTGCTTGAATAAATTCAAATTCAAATTCAAATTCTAATGCGTAAATGGTATCATTTTACGAGAAAAGCTCGGAGGAAATAAAAATTTGACCGAGGGCTGATTGTAAATTACTTAAGAAAAACATTATATAAGCTTGAACTTAAGTCGAAATCAAGATGGACCATTGCTAACGGCTCTTTTTATTGCTATATTCGGTATAATTCTGTCTTTTCAGAATGACACGGATTCTAGCAGATTGTAGATTTGTCGTCGATATTTCTCAACAAATTGTCATACTGTATCGTAAGCCTTGGCAGAATGAATAAGTGAAGAATAAGGACGAAGGCGACCAAATGGATCTAGACATCTCTTACCTAGTATGAATCTCACTGATATTGTTTTGAATCAGTTTGTCCAAATTCTTGTAGAATGCTGAGAAAAAGTGAGCCTTGTCTAATGATGAAAAGGAAGCAAAACAAGAAAAGAAAATGACTTGGAGCTCAAAGACAAACACAAGCACTTCTAATCACAGATTTTAAAGACAAATCGTACTTGTGGACATTGGCAAAGTAATTTTTATATTGTTTTCCAAGCCAGGTTTTTCAGCACCATTGAAAAGAAAGTTTTGTCGTCCATAGCTTGCTTTCATCACTAAAACGTAAACGAGGGAAATAATAAAGTATTAATGAAATTTAATGCTTAAGAGATTTTTTTCTACAATTAAGACATGCTTAGAGAGATGCCCTTTTCGAACCTTTACTAGTACTACTATTGGCTATTGCAACTCGAGAAAGTGTCGGGGATTAAATTTTAAACATAAGATAAAAACGTTTTGAATTAAGTTTTTTTTAAAAAAAATATATTTAGTTTCAAAAATGATTTAACATATATAATTATAAATTCTTACTGTTAAAACAATAGGAAACGTTTTCCGTGTTTGCATAGCCTGATATAAACACGAGAGGGGTTGGGAGAATTCTCGACAATTATGCAAACCCGAGACGAAGTCGAGGGTTTGCATAACTGTCGAAAATTCTCCCAACGCCTCGAGTGTTTACATCAGGCTATGCAAACACAGGAGAAAAGTTTTCTATTGCTTTTATAAAATAAATTTCCCGAGAAAAAAACTGCAAAACTCTTTGTATGGCACTGATTAAAAGAGAAATTCTTACAAGTCGCAAAGTCTTGTCCACGAAGTTTTGCACGCGTAATCAGTTCTAGTTTTGCAAAAAGATGCTTTCCAAAATACGGACTTTTCTCGCTTAAAATGTCAGCTTAAGTGAAAAAAAATTAGAAACACTTTCTTTGTAACGATTTTCCAAGCTTCAGCTGACGAAGGAATGGGTAAATAAGGTAAACTTGTCGAGTTTTGAACTTGAAAACTAATTTCAAATTCGTGCTTGTGTGATTAGCGCGCGAAATGCAAAACATCTTGACGCCACAACCATGTTTACATACTCTCATGCAAACACTCCTCTCAGCCAATCAGAGCGCGCGTACGATCGTAGTTATTTTATAAAAGGGCATAGTTATCCAATTCAACTTGTCTGATTTAGGCTCGTTAACGTAATGCATCAAATGAATCATAGAAATTGTTATCCGTAATTTCACGAGCCGTTAGGCGATTGAAATTTGAGACACTGCTCTAAGCCATTGAAATTGCAGAAATTTCTCGTTTAGTAGTATAAAAATACTCACCTAGGCTTGAAGAATTCACAGCGATCACTGTCGAGAAGTTGGTAATACGCGAAGCTATGCTTTCACCAAGTTTCTCAACTACTCTGGCGACACCAAAGACCTGATTTGATTGAGTGACGCTTTGCTTCACGAGGGAGTCATTTAAACTTTTCAGCAATTTGCTTGTCTTTTCCCCGGCGATCTACGTGAAATACATGAACATGTTTGTTACAGTGCATTTTACGACAGACAGAAATGCTTTGAAGCACTTTAAAGTGCAATACCATTCATTACATCTCGTGTTGATTATTGTAACAGTCTTTTGTGTGGGCTGCCCAACTACCAGCTTAACAAATTGCAGAGAGTTTTGAATGCCTCAGCCAGCCTAGTTTGTAATGCCCCTAGGTTCTGCCACATCTCACCCCTTCTTCGTCGTCTGCATTGGCTTCCTCTTAAAGCCTGGATAGAATTTAAGATACTGCTTATTACGTTCAAAGCAATTCACGGCCTTGCTCCTAAATATCCATGCGACTTACTAACATTTAAATCGTCCTTATATAACCTTAGATCTTCAGATAGTATTTTACTTTCTATGCCAGCTGCTCGATCGAAGACGTTAGGTGATAAAGCTTTTATGGTAGCAGCGCCAAGGCTCTGGAACTCTCTTCCAAAAGAACTTCGTGCGATTACTAATGTGAACAGTTTTAAGGCGCGTATTAAGACTTATCTTTTTAAAACTTTATATTGGTGAGCAATTTTATATTCAGTTCTTACTTGCATGCATATATATTCTTGTTATTTTTTTATTTTTTAATGCATTATCTTTTATTTGTTTCTTTTATAGTAATGTAGTTGTAATGCGCACCTGATCAATCTCATGTTAAGCTGCGCACAATAAGTTCATAAATTATTAAATTATTATTAGAGTGGAACCTCGATTTAACGAACCTCTATCTAACGAGGTCGTCGATATAACGAACAATTTTCTTTACCCCAAGAATAGTAAAATATATGAAAAAGAAACTCGACATAACGAATCTCGTTATAGCGAACAAATTTTGTCAGTCCCTTGGCCCTTCGTTGAATCGAGGTCCCACCATATGTTGAACAGATCCACTAGCATACCTTTGACGTTATTCATACGAATTACATACAGTACTGCTTGGAGTGGCGAAGGCGTATAAAACCAGAGTTAGGCTTTTGATTTTAAACGATCGTCACGTGACCCCGGCGAGAGAACGATGGATAGATCATGTTCAACCATGGTTCTCCATGGTTGAACACGGTTTTCCAACCATGGTCTACCTTGATTTTGCAGTGATATAACTATGGTTTGACCATGGTCAACCATGAACGTTAAATTGGACTTAAGCTGACCATGGTAAATCATGGTCAAACTGCTCTGATATAAGCAGGGATCAACCATGTTTGACCATAGTAAAGGAGCATTTTTAACCACAGAGTCAACTACTATAGCTTAAACCAGTATTGATGCGTTATAACCCGTGAACGTTTAATTGTCATTGTTGAGGCAGTTTGAAAAAGTTTAATGTACTCTTGAAGAATTCTAGATAACATAGTGAAACCTGGGATAGTGATGTGGAAAGAAGGGGAGGGACACGGGAGCATTTTAGCTTTCTTTGATTAAGTGAACTGAACGGTCTCAATTATAGAGCTTCTTATTTCTTAAACATATAAACAATGTTGAGTAATATATGGACGATCAAAAAAGAAAAGCCAGTAATGCAAGAAACTTTGTACCTTCATTATCCTCTGAAGAAAATCACTTGTGGGATTGCGAGCACTTTCAACTTGGTATAGCAGATCGTTCAGCAACGAAACTGTGGCATCGATCTAAAGAGGGAAATAGCGATATTTGACACGGTATCCAGCAAACAAATGAATATGCTCGGGACCCTCAGCAGCTAAAAACAGTTAACGTCTGACATGAGAAACATTATATCACTAGGTGTAGGTTCTGCAAGGGTATTCCCGGGACCCGGGATTTGGCCACAATACAGTGCGGTTTTCGGGAAACGTCAAAGGGATACGGGATTGACTGCTACACGCAAAGCAAGCAAGTACTGATGCGGGATTGGGAATAAAACGCCATAAACGCGGGATAGTGATGACAGAAGCTCGGGATACAGGATTCGCGTAAGAAAGAAGCGGGATCAGGATCCCCTCCCCCGCCAAATCCTCTCCAAACCCTGCAGGTGATTTCCTTACCAATTGAGAATTAGTGCATTTGACGTAATTGGGATAATTTGGATTGCCTACTCTACAGTACTCTTCAGGAACATCTGCAATAAAAACGGGACATTTTATTTAATAAAATTAAAGTCAAAGAGGCGAAACGATGGAGCTATTGAATTACTGTTTAGTAAACTACGCTTGACTGGCCATATCCTTGAGCCTTAAAAACTGGGTTACAAATTGCCAGGGGATGCAAAATATCCCGAGATCTTAGGCGAAATCGAAAACGAAACGCTGGAAAGTTAACCGATACCTAACAGGAATTCTAAGAATTATTATTCTTATTAATCACGAGTTATCAAGATTCTGTGCAAAGTAAAAGCAAAGAATGATGTTTCTTAGTCAACTTACAAAAGCGACTCTGAAAATATATCCGAACTCGAGTCCATGACTGTGTGACCACCAGCACAGATGCTCTACCACTGAGCCACAGGAGACTATGTAAAGCACGTGAAGTAATAGGAAAGTAATAGTTTGACTCCACTCCGATGGGGGAGTGCTAATTTTATTGTCGAGTCGCCCTGTCTCTGGCTTAAGAAACATCATTCTTGCGTTTGCACAAAATAAATGCTGAATCATTACCCGTTTGAGTGAATATCAAAAAAAGCGTAAAGCTGTCGACAAGTTTGCAAAACGAGCAGGGTAACGATGTTCGAATTTGAATGACTTAAAGATTCCGACGTAGGTTAGCTGATCCTTCCCTTGTGCCCATTCCTTGGAATATTTGCGCGAAGTAATTGAAAAGTTACTGCCAAATAATTTACCGTAAAGTTCCGAAAGCCTTTCTGTAATGACCCTTCTCTCCGAATCATGATCGACCCCTGAAGTTAAGGATCCACCAGCTTGACCACAAGTATATTTCCTCTATTTGATTTCGGAAATGGTAAATATATTTTACACTCTTCCTTATTTTAAATTCCGCAAGAAACGACCTCCCCCCCATGAAAGCCGCCCTAGGAAAGTATAGGCAAAGACTGCTAGGGCGATCCGCGCAAACTAGAGTCTAATTTGCTTTCCACACTTTACGATAATATCACTTGTGGCATCGAGCTCCGACATCGAGGCTCGCGTACGATTTTGGCGTCTCCTACCAGTTTCTCAGTTTATGAATTAAAACATATTATCATATTAGCAATACTCACAGTCCTTTGTTATGTTTTTTATCAAGAAGTCGTTTCCAATTGGAATTACCATAGTTCCATTTGGCGTTTTCATGCCAATTGACATTCGATCAAAGCCTATCCCTTGTTTAAGTAGAGCTTCGATGTAGTAGACTTTATTCTGCTGCAGAAATTGAGGAGTGGAAACCTGCAAGGGTTGTAACGTAGAATCGCTGCGAAAAATTGGGAAAAATCGTGCAATAAAAAGTTAACAGTCCATCATAGTGAGACGATCCTTTACCTCAATAGCTTCTCTGCAGTTTAAAGAGAAAAAGCCCTCTGAATTTATAGTGGTAACACAATTACTGGTATTATTAACGTAGGAATTGAACTCAGGACTTCCTAGGACTAATCCAGCTGGCGGCCAGGACGCGGATTCAACTCCGGAACCCGGATTACAATTCCAGCGCTCTTAAACGCTTGACCACACGCTACCTCCGCTCGAAAAAGTAACGTTATAGCTTGAATCTCAACAGCTACTTAGCACGCAAGTGAAAACCTTGAAAGTAAATTGAATGTGCTCCGAAGGGAGAAAAATGCTATTACACGCACCTCTAAAGGGACTGAGAGAAATAGGGTGAGACCAAAGGAGACAAGGTGGGAAAAAGGATCTGGTGACCATGATGATGATGACAGTGATGATGATCAGTGATGTTTATGATGGTGATAGTGATAACGACGATGATGATGATGATGATGATCATGATGATCATGATGATGATGACGATTCTTATGTTGCTCTTACCATAGCACAAAAGTAAATAAAAAAGACTGTCTTACTTGCAACAGTTCTGAGGTGCATCCCCAACGTTAGTAGTTTGATTGATAATCATTTTCTTTCCTCTAGGGTTCATATCTCCGCTGATAAAGAACTGACAGGTATCATCGCAAAATGTGTAGAAAGTGTAATTTCCCGTCTCTTTGGCGAGTAGATAAGAACGATATCGAGCACCATAATCTGTTGCGTATATTTGATGTCTAAATCTTGAGATATATCCACTTTTGGTAGCAGCTTTTTGAAAAGCTGGATTTGTCGTCAATGCTTTGATGTCATTCCCTGGGATTTTCAACCATCTCTCATAAAAAACTTTATCAGATTCTAAAAAAATATAAGATAAAATCTATTTCAGTATTCTTAGACTGTAATTTAAAATGAAATTAATTTCCACAATATTTAATAATTATTCTTTGAAATTGTGGTGAATAGTGGCAGGACATTTAAAAGAAAGCGCAAAAATATATTTCACTGTCAGCGAGGTAATGTACAAAGTAATTTGTAACTCGAAGAGTTTAACAATCAGTAGAGATTAACATCGTACCAAGAGCCCTCGTTACCCTGACGAACGCCTTCAGGAGTCTGGGACGAATAAAGACTGTAATTACAAACTAACTAGGTTTCGACTACGTGAAATTGCCTCACCCATGTCAATTCAAGTGGCATTTTCAAGATAATGGGTTAAAATTACATAAAAAAAACACATAAAAAAACATCTTTTTTCGTTAAAATAACGAGGTGCGAGAAAGGGTAGCTAGACAAGCAACCAAACCTTGAAAGGTCTATTTTGAAACTTTTTTTTACAAAATAAGGCACTAGATATAGGCCCATCTACCTGAAAATAAAAATATACATCCGATTAAGGGTGTTTCTTGGTGTTAAGACAACCATGCATTGTTGGTTCACTTTTGTGTTTTGTTGTGGATAGTGCTCTGCGTCTTCAGTCTTTTGTATTACGGTCATTTGGTGATTGCACCCGTCCTCAACTCCAATATACTACCCCTTTTTTAAATCCCTTCCAAATGTATTGAAATGCATTCGATATATTATGACATTGTTGAAGCTTATCTTAAATCTTCTATTAAGCCCCCCTCTCAAATTAGTCCCCCCCTTCCCTTTTGAGGGGAAGAAAGTTAATAAGCACCCCCCTCTCTTTTAACTCTCCAACCTCCCCTCCCCTAATTATTCTTCACTAATAAATAAGAGACTGTATCAATCAATCAGGACTGTCAAACGTCGTGTGGACTGATCCAGGATGGTTAATTCACCAACTGGAAGTTGGTATTTGATTCTGATCCTCGGCTGTGTGACCTCCAACCCTCTTGTACTTGAGCTTTTCCACTTTGCATTCTTAAGTTCTTTATAGAGAACTGATACCATCGTGTTTGTTAAATTAGATAAGCCACCACCCCTGAATGTGTTTGGAATAAATTAGTCCCGGGAGGCCTAATAGAGGACTAGCAGTAACTAAAAACTTGATAAAAAGCTAAACGCATTTTATCAAGACTGTTTCCAAGCTTTTTTTCCATTCCGGTTGTAAGCCCGCTCGGACATAAGCCCATCCTTTTAAAAGCGCTCTTAAAACCCCTTACGAAGATGTATCATCCCAGCGCTTCTAAGAAGCACTAAACGATATGCAAGAAAAGGCGTATTAGCCTTGTTTTAGATAAAACCGCCCAAGTTGAAATTAAAATGGTGAGCGTCATTAGCAGGTTGCATTAACGGTTGAATGGTAATCCGTTAATGTCAAAGAAATGAAAATTACATCTGTCAATATGGCTTCATATCACTTATACATAGTTATGAGATGTGGAGTAGTGCTCAAAGGTGCTCAAACCCTATTGTGACACACTTAAGCGCTCGTACATTATTTACGTTATTACCGTGATAACAGCTACTTGAAATAATATCTCGATAATGCTCTCTTTTTTGCTACATTTAACAATTATTCTTTGAAATCGAGGTGAATAGTGGCAAAATATTTACCGAGCCGCGAAAGCGGCGAGGTAAATATTCTTAAAGCCACTATTCACCGAGATTGAAAAGAATAATTGTTTTAGTATATACACACGAAGTGATCTCGACAATATTTTAAAAAAAGCCATTTAAAGGCAATTTATTGACACGTCAATTCATGCGTGATGAATGCACAGTGCATGCGCAAGGGTTATTTACAGAAAGTTCAAACGTGGTAAATCTCTGCTCGAGCTTTTTTTCTACAAAGTGTTTTCAAAATGCTCAAAATGGCCTTACGGAAAGCCTAAATCAATAGTCTGGACTGAAAAAAACATCCAAAATCCTCTTTCAAAGTTTACTTAAAGTTGAAATTGAACGAGCAGTTGGAGAAGGAGCCACCAGAAATGATGCCATGTGCAGCGTTGGTCGACATGTTTTCTTGAACAAAAATGTTCTCCTGGACATTTGTGGATTTGCTTGAGTGAATTTCTTTGGATACTGTCTCTAAGGGAGAATGATTCACCTCTGCTAGCGGGTTAATGGCGACTTGATGGTCAGGTCTGCAGAAGTTGATGAAATCTGTAATCGCCGAAGACATATTCTTAAACTGCTCGAACGTTGGACGATCGTTGTAGGATTCCAAACTTGCATCGCTTTTGTGGCCCGTGACTGCTCTGATGTGGCGATTTTTCATATCTTTAGAAGACAAAATATTTACGGTGGTCGACCTGACGCAGTGATTTGTGAAAGGAGGATCGATACCAGCTCGGAGGCACATATTCTTCATCATGCTGTCGATCGTGTTATGGCCTAGAGGAAGTGTTGAATACCAAATGACATCAGAAGACGGTTTAAATTTAGCACCAGTTAAGGGCTTCTGAAAGAGTGCTTCACATTTTGGATTTAAATGGGACAGGTAAGCCTTCACTACTGCTACTGGACAGTTAGCAAGCCCTTTGCCTTCGAACATTTTACCATCAGATGGGTCGTCGGTGCCGTCTAGACCACCTTGGTGATTTTTGGTTGAAAAGACTCCTCCTGGCGTTTCTCTGTTAAGCTCAAAATATTCCAGGCCGGAATTTGGGGTTTTGGAGAGCTTTAGGCTTGATTTTGTCAATTGACGCTGGTTTTCCCTTCCTCTTCGACCAAAGTAGAGGGTAATAAAAAACCACGCTGTTTGCTGCAGCTTTTGTGGATCGTGGCATCTTTCATCTACTAGCTCGCCGGCTTCGTAGAGCTTTGAAACTGCTTCGGTCGTTAGTGCGGGTTTGTGAACAGTAGAACAAATTTGACCTGACTTGCTCAGAGTTTTCAGAAACGAATTTAGAGCTTTGTTCGCTTCCGTGAACTGGCTGTCGCTAATTATCGAAAATGGCTTGTTGTGTGGCTCGTTGCGCAAGTGCCGATCAATGGCGGCTCTGATCGAGGTAAGCGTTGCTTTGTTGTAGTAACCTCCGTCCTGTTTTCTTGCAGACATGTAAAATTTCCGCAAGCATTTATTTAACTCCTCCTTGTTCATCTCTTCTATATCTGTGGTAAATTCTTCTTGCTGGGAAAACCAATCTACAAAGAATTTACTCATATTGTAACAAATTTTTGATGTGAAGAGTTATGAATGTCACTCAAACTTATTGGCAGTTGTCAGCAAAATAAAACCAGAAACACTTTTTAACACTTTCGAGTCTTCTCTTACCTTTAAAAACTTTCAGTCCATACTTAGTTGCCTTTTTTGTATTCTCAGGCACAGCCTCGTCTTGTATTTGTAAAATTTCTGCTTCTGAAACTTGAGCGAAACGCGAGTTTACGCCTGCCATTTTGTTTTTGTTTTGAAGATCACGAATTACGCATTATCCACTCGCTCGGAGGTGAATATTGTTGAATAGCCCGAGATAGCGAACCAATCAGATTGCTTAAAACACCAAGATCACTGAGTGTGTATATACTAATATATTATGTAGTCAAAGAGGCCAGTGGCAACCAATAGTTATCAGCTCTACTTTTTAAAATGCGTTTTTTTCTAGGTTATTAAGCACAATGGTCATCTCCGAAATTAAGCAACTTGTCAGCTATGATATGCAAACTCTCGTTAGAACTAATGAAATATCTCAGGCACGTAATGAAAATAATTTCGTTTTAAATAAGGCAACATAATCCGAGCCTGTTTGATATGATGCTTTCTATAAAGTATGTGTGCATCAAATTGTAACAACTGAAATTTTCGTTCGGTTCTTTTTTAATTATGAAATCCCATTCTTTTCAATAAAAAACCTACTCATTTAATCTAGCGAGCAGATTTAGCTTTTTGTTGGTGTAAATTATTGGATGCCCCTCAAAATCATGTCAAAAGTAAAACAAGTCAGACTATAAGATTTAAAATAAAGAGAAATAGGCCTGTGGGACCATCAAGTCATTTTAAAACATTGAAAATATTCTAACTATCTTCCTCCCCATTTGTTGATTATTCCGCGGATTATTGAATTTAATCAGATCTCAGTTCTGAATACACAACAGAAATTTGAATTTTATCTTTAAATGTTTATTCGAAACTGACCAACCGCCCGGAATTTCCAGTTGGAATCAAAATTAATCAGAGGAATTTATTGTAAGCTAGAATTAAAAAGACTGAAGAATGAAGATTCCGAAAAGTAATTTTCTACTTTTCGTTTCCTCAGTTTGTTTTTTATAGGATAAAAGAAATTACTTCGTCATTTTGCGGGACATGTAATTGCTCTTCAATGACAGAGTGGTCAGAATGATTCCGGTGGAATGACGCTTAAACTTCAAGTTAAAACCTTCAAGAAAAGTTCCCTTAATTGCTTTATTAGCGAGCAGTAGTTCCTTCTCCGTTTCAACAGATCCTTATGTGATTAATTCAGTTTCTTAGCAGGTAGAGTCTCAGAACTTAGTTCAATAGCCTTAACACAAAGTTCAAAATCACAAAACTTTACTTCGTGTATTGACCAAAACGGAATAGGTATCTGAAACAAACTCCGCCCGTTACTATTCTTAGTCTATTTATCAATTACATCTCATAAAACTAGTCGGACGACTGGCTTTAGGAAAGCAGCTTATTTCAATTGGGAAACAGCATTCATTTGTTGAACTCATAAGTATTCGCTTACAAGACCCTTAGAAATTGCTTAATGCTTGAACCGTTTAAACCGGCACGACTGTCTGACAAGTCGCTTAGCTAAAATAGTACAAGGGTAATAATGTCGGTCTTTATTTCGGCATGATCAGGCGATATCGACCGCTCGAGATGTTTTCCTTGTCCTGTGCGACTCTTAAAAGTTGCTACATGTAGTGGTTTCATTGTTTGATCTTTAAGTTTTTCCCAAATTTTCATCGCAAAAGCAGATGATCCGACAGGGGTGTTATTATTAAAAAAATAACAAAAATCCGTTCATACGTTCAGGTTTAGGATTTATATAAAACATGAACTAAAAAAGTTATCTTTCAAAAAAGAAAAAAAAAAAAAGATCAATGCTGCTTACCTTTCAGCGAAGAAGGAGACGGTAAAATAATCTGCAGTTAAATGGTTATTAAAAAGTCAAAAACGTACTTTTAAATATCAGTCAAAAAATCTTGCATGCGAGAGAACACTAACCTGAAGCAAGAAAAGATACAGTACAGTACTACAACGCATTCGCCTCATATCAAAAGAAAATTTTTATCTTAGTCAGAAGCACAGTTTGGACGCTTTCGTGCCCCGAGCCCAATATGCGCGCTCGTATTACGCTAAGATACCGTTTTCCTTCACTGACTGGATTGTAGTCATGAGGTTCCATCATTGCCTTGTTCTACCATCTGCCTGTCAATCTGCCAGATATTTGAATTAAGTGGAAGTCAATTTAACTGGCGACCAATTAGATTGCGAGTGTGTGACGGGGTGTTGACTTTTTATCAGTATTTCAGTATTGTGCTAATGAACTGTCTGTTAAAGCACTGCCTCTCTCTCTCTCTTTTGTTTTCGTCGATGTATGGCTTGTTAGCTCTTGTTAAATCCCGGCCATTTAATTTCAGTCACATAATTTACTTTTAAAAGCTCGCTGAAACCTCAAATACACTTTGTTCGGCTTTTTCGGTTTTCTCCGCAAATTGTTCGTGCATAATAGCGTCCATATTGAGGTGCGAAGCTGCAGAAAAAGATAAACAAAGCTGATTTAGTTACTTTGTCTGTTTATATTGAAAATGACAGTGGTCTTTCTCAAAAGAGCTTTTCATACAACATTCAATGCCGGCATTGTTTCCCTGGGTTCTTGAGAAATTGTAAGAGAACATGAAATGATACAAAATTTATCCCTTTTTTTCCAAATGAAATGAATTTTAATATTATATTCGGAAATTACTAACACAAAAACGTCTCCTTGTTGAATTTTCATATTTACCGACAACTGCGATAAATATTCATTCTATAATCACCGGTTGTTACGGTTTTCTTGGGAACGGTCAAACGAGACTTGCGTCTTTAGTCATGCCATAACAAATTAATCCACTGGCTTAAATCGGATGTAGAAGAATAATCGTATTCATTTATTAAATCCCTGTCAATGCAAAACAGTAAAGAAAGGCCTAATTAAAAAGAAAACTCACAGTTTCATGTGGTGTCCATGACAAACATCATTTACCACAAAATTGATACAAAACTGTTCTGCTTAAAGAGTACTGTATTTGCAGGGTTCTATCAGTCGTGAGATTGATTAACCTTTTTTACTCAGGGTTATTAACAATAAAATGCTCTCCAGCAATTTTATCTTAAGAATAAACGAGGGCTTTAATTCGGTTCTTTCTTGAATGAAATCTCACTGAGGTAATCTGATTTCCACCCTGCGGTAATATCTCACAGTTCTATCACAGTGTGACAAAAGGTCGTTATTGATAGATATTGCGTCAATGTTGCAGTACAAAGATTTTTCGAGATTATATAAAGAGCTAGTAATCCTGATGTAAGCAGCTATGAAAGACATCTTGCTTGTTGTTAACTTAAACTGCACACAAGCTTTCTTTTGCAAAGATATTTCATACATCGATAAAATAGGTCAGTAGAAACCAATTAGCGTAGACATGGTTGAAGCTAGGTCCGTGGCGCCCCAACGGTTACCATGACTACGGAATAGGCGCAGGTGCAGTTCTCTGGTACAACTCCTGTTAAATTTTGGAATACTGAAGGCGTTTATCTTTTAGTGACGACTGTTATTCTACACAAAAGTAGTTGTGGCCACATATTCACGTTGCGTAACATGATTGAGCAATGCCTGGCATAGAACAGATCACTGCGTAAAAACTTTCAGTTGCTTACAGTGTAAACACCACTCGCACATCTCCCAGAATGCACCTTATTTGCCCCCCAAAATTTTGCATAACCTTGTTTTTCATTTCTCCTGGGTATTACAGCCGTCCCAAGAGAAATTGAAAACAATGCTTATGCAAACTTTTGGGTGGCAAATAAGGTGTATTATTGGAGATATGTGCAAGTGGCATATATCTTGTGATTTAACTGTACCCTTGGTTTAAATTCTTTTCTTTTGTGTTTTGGTATGGTAATGCATGTTAATGGGCCGGAAAGAAGAGAATTGAGTGAGTGAGTAATCTTTCATTCTAGAATATGCTGAATGACACAATGGCTGCAATGGCAGGTATGACAACCCTTGAAGTGCTTTTTTACTGATGGTCCTTTACAGTCACTCACTGCTTATCCTCGACATAGTCCCCAAGTTCAGACGCCCCCCTCCGCCTCCCCCCGCTACCCCAACCCCCCATGACCATTTACACTCCTACACATTTCTTCAAATGAGTTGCTTGATTTAATATGCAAGTGATAGTTTCCATGTGAGATAATCAAAATTCAAGTTACAAAATCATTCCCTCGTGATTTTATAGTGTAGCTCCACGCGCACTCGAGATAATGGCCTCGTAAATAGCACAAAATTGCGTTTTCACGTCACTGACATGGTTACATTGCGTATAGTCGGGATTTTATAGAGTGTTTTCACTCACGTGGCAACTTTATTGCGTTTACATATTAAAGAGAAGAGTTCAAATCCCACAGGATTGGTTTATTGGTACACCAACATGGCCGCAGTTTTTTTGTTTCGAAACACCAATATGGCCGCCGTGACGTCATGTGAAAACGCTCTATTGAAGGAAGTTCTTCTTGACTTGGGCTGCTGTATTGCAAGCTTAATTTTTGGTATAAAACATAAAATGAACAATCAAACAATGCATATTTAAAAAATTGGTTTAATATTTCGGTTTAAAAGACAAACCTTCTTCAGGGGCTAAAAAATATGAAGATGAAACTGAAAGTTCGTTACTAATAAGGGTTTGAAAATATAAAACTAAAGCAAAAGATTGTGATTGGTGTATTTGACAAGGTAGTATCGTATATCAACGAACTTCGTCACGTCTATTTACTCCTAGAGTAGACAATGGTTTCCCTTTGTGTATTAAGTGAGCCTCCAAACCCTGTCTCACTGCGTCGCGGTCGCTGCGTATGAGTTCAAGAAAAATGAGAAAAACGTGGTTGATTGAATGTCCAGATTGATTGAAAACAGTATTGAAATGCAGGGAGAGAGGAGCGGGATCGCCGTGTTGATGGTGGTTAAGATGGATCGGTGGTGCTCCCCAAATCGTTCGTTAATTTAGCGTTTAGTCTCACCGATGTACAAGCATTTGCATCTTACATTGAATTAAACAGATAAGATTTTTGGATTTGCAATTTTATCCATATTCTTCTTTTAGCCCCTAAAGAAGGCTTATCTTTCAAAACGAAATATTGGCCAAATTAGTTTAAATATATATTTTGGCTTTATTCATTTGTTTACATGTTCATCGCCTTGCCGTAAGGATTAGCTTGCCTTTTTATATTTTATACCAGTTGCTATTGCACTGATCCAGGTCTACAACTAGGAGATCCGGCACCACTCAACGGTTTGTCGCTGCGGACTTGCTGATATTTTCATTTTTTTGTGTTAGCCTAGTTCTCCCTTGAGGAGTTATGTGCTTCCTTGCGCTGATTCGAGAGGGATCAAGTTTCCTACAATTAGGGGGCTTTTCCTTGCCGGCAGCAGGCAATGGTAACAAATGTAGATTTTTTTTAGGTTAATTGTTAAATGAGTAGGCGGCCTTTGCTCTCTGGAAGCATGGCCAGTTAACCATGATCTTGTACAGCAGCCAGTACCCTATTTACCTGTGAAAAACAGTTCTTTCTTTAATCCTTGGTTGCTATATTGAATGGGAGAAACATTTGCTTATACATCCATCCAAGAAATTTCGGAAGTCACGTGACCGAACTAACGTCCACCCGTCCGTCCGCGCCTCAAGGAAACCAATCTGAACTGACAATCTTTTTAGCTAGTGTTGAAACTTAAACCTGGTATTTCATATGCATAAAATTGTTATGGTCTATTGACAGCTGTCAAAACAGGGTATCAGCTTACCACATGACGATTTTTTTAATATTACTGCTACCCGCGCAGTTAGCTCAATGGGATAAGCGCTGGTCTGCTGAGCGGGAGGTCGCGTGTTCAAACCCCGGCAGGACCAACACTCAGAGTCTTTAAATAACTGAGGAGAAAGTGCTGCCTTTGTAATAACATCTGCAAACGGTTAGACTTTCTAGTATTCTCGGATAAGTAGGCCGTAGGTCCCGTCTCACAAGCCCTTGCACGTGTAATAAAAAAATCTGTGGGACGTTAAAGAACCCACACACTCTTCGTAAAGAATAAGGTACTACATGCCCGGTGTAGTGGTCTATCTCACTTTCACACTCATGTATGGGGGCATCATTACTCATTCCTTCATTACTTGTAAACTGCACCTAAGCAGTCTGGCAAAGTCCCCCAACCATTGTTGTAAATTATCCCTGAAAAGCCCCGAGGGGAGTGGATAATAAGATATTTAAAATTTACAATTTACATATACAATTTTCTAATGATATCAAATGATGATAATAATGATGATGATGATGATGATGATGATAATGATGATGATGATCACAGTGATGATGATTATAATTGTTACTGTATGCTGCGTGTACCTGTAAATGAGATCTGTTCTTCACAAATGAATCCTTTCTTGATAGTGCATTTCAAGTCATTGAAGAGCCCGCATGTTCCTTGAGGGTATTGTTTGGCAATAACCACACATAGTCCGTCACCAGTAGGCTGCCCACTCTGCCAGTGTGGATTGGTCAGCGGTTTTCCAGTGACCCATGTCCAATTATTCTTTTCAGAAGACCTATTTGATAAGCCAATGAACCACTCATCAGCTGCTGTATTAGAAAGATTTTGAATTTCTTCTTTTACAAACTCCCACTTGCGGTCGGTTTCCAAGGTGACGAGGTGCCCGCCCTCTTCTATGCATTGCCTCTGGCCGTCTAACCAGGAGGTGATGTTATCGCTATAAAACTTATACATTACACCATCTTGAATAGCTAAATGCATGGTCAGAAAAAAAAAATAGATTGCTAAAAAAAATTATAAATGTTAAAAAGGAACAAGCAACTTAGCTAGAGCTTACCAAAAAACGAAGTCATATAGGCGGTCTTCAAGGCGTTTGGCGGATCGAGAAAGAACCTACCATATAAAAGTTTATACAGCGAATATCCACCTTTTGAACGAGTAGTTTTTAGTGTGGCCCACAATGTTAAGAATCCCAACTGGCCGAAGGTAAACCAGTTTATTTACAAGTTGACCGAGAAGTTGAATTTGGACTACTGAGAACACTAAATCCAGCTGCGGTTTGGGCGGGAATTAAACTCGGGTCGGAGCCTTCAGCGCTCTAACCCAGCTCGGCCATGCTGCATTTCTCCGCATGGAGTTATGATTGAGAATTACAAGTGGATTGAAAATCCACGAATACCATATATTGTTCTCAGTTCTAACCTAAAGAGCCCAAAGCTTGAGCGGCGGAAAAACGACTATAGCTTGGATATGTGCAGCTATAACGTGGTCTCACTGAAGAGTGCATGCCCTTTAAAAATTAAACCCGTCAGGATTTTGTTCTGAATACGTTTTGAATGGAGAAGATAGGGGCATCTTATTATTGGCAGGAATGTTCTCTTCTCATTCGGATTTTCCTCTTTCTTTTTGTTCTATTTGTTTAATAATGATTGCTTTCTTTTTTTATTTCTGCGCTGCAGTGGGCCTGTTAGTTAGCCTTTCAGAGCCCTTTGGGTGCATGTATCCAGAATGGTAATTGCTATTAGTCATATTCACCTCATTTACAGACTAGGATGGAACGATTATTTGAAAGGCTAAAAATTGGTTTTAATATAGTTTGTTTGAGTCTAGTAAAAACGACTGTGTGTTTTTAGATGGCGTCCGGACGTACCACAATGATTTATTCTAACTTGAAATTATTGGTTTTAGCCTACCTGAATGGAAGTTTGCCCCTCCTTCGATGAAGGTATTAACCTAAAAGGAAAACAGAAAACATACCCAATAACCGGAGAAGGGCAAAATCGATTTTGCATAAGGAGTATATTATTTCGTCAATTAAGGTGTCTAAGAACCATGCCATTTAGCTCGATTCCATCTGCCCCGGTTTATTAATTAAGCCTTCACTTACCAAAAAACAAAGATGTAACCATTCCAGAATCAGTCTTCTAGAAATATTAAAAATGTTCATTTTTTTTTTCAGTTTGTGTTGAGAAAGAGTTAACCCACGTTTGGTATAGATTTACTGGTAAGACAAAGTATTAATAAGGATGTTAATAAAGAGTGTCAAGAAGTTACCTAGGACAGCTGTCATAATTTTTAAACTGACAAGTGCGAGGAGTGGTGTTTCTGCTTCCTGTGGCTGTATTGTTTGAAGTGTTCCTTAACTAATTATTTCGAAGTTTAATTTCGGCGAATGAACATACAGCCAGCTGACAGGCTGCCATCAACACAAAGCAAAACGTAGCGTGCTTAATCTGAATATTTTCTACTAGTTTTGCACCAGGGTTTTGCAGGTCGAAAAATTAGTAATCAGTCAGACGGTTATGATATATATATATACCAAGAATGAGTCTCGAATTGACTGACGGAGAATAACATAAATCAGGAACGAATAACTCGTTACTAAGGATTTTGCTCGGCTCGCCTAAATCTTATTAAAATTTAAAACATTCATTTTCTTGTTAAGCTGTTTAAGTATCATCATTTGTGTTCCACACGTTAATACAAATGTAGCTTGTCATAAAAACAAACTGAGAGATACAAACATAGTGAACCCTCCATGCAGTCAGTATAAGAAATAATCTGATATAGCTTGATATTGTGATTAACATATTTCAAACATTATGCAAGAGTACGGGTATCGCAAAGATTTTTCCAGAGGCACAAACAATTTTTCCATATCTTTCTAACTTCCCATTTTTTTGCAGTGCGATGTTTCTACAACCTCCCCAAGACCATCAAAACTTGCACGGAGAGAGTCACCTTTGTACGCAAATGCAGAGAACATTAAATTACGTAGCCCTTAGCAAGCCCGCGGCCTGCGGCCTGAGCACCCTTAACTTTTTATTCAAATAGATATATATTTTCTGTTAGACTTCTGCCATTGTTCAAAGTTTGTAGTTAGTTTAATAGCCTGGTTAGTAATATGGCATAGAAGGGTCATTTTTCAGGAATGTTTTTGAAACAGTTATTATTGTTAGCATTATTATTATCATTATCAATATTATTATATTTTTATTTTTCCCATTTTCCCCACGTCGTTTTTACATCCCCTTCTTTCCTCCGAGTATAATGAGATTATATGCAAAAGGATGAAGTGGCCGGGAAATGGCTCCTTCCGTCTACTATAACCCTTTATAAAATAAACAAGATAGTACGCGCGCTCTGATTGGCCGAGAGGAGTGTTTGCATGAGAGTATGTAAACATGGTTGTGGCGTCAAGTTGTTTGGCTTTTCGCGCGCTAATCACGTAAGCACGAATTTGAAAAAGTTTTCGAGTTCAAAACTGGACAAGTTTACTTAATTTACCCATTCCTTAGTCGGCTGAAACATGGAAAATCGTTACAAAGAAGGTGAGTCAAGTTTTCTTCGCTTAAGCTGACATTTTAAGCGAGAAAAATCCGTATTTTACAAAGCATCTTTTTGCAAACCAAGAACTGATTACGCGTGCAAGACATCGTGGACAAGATTTTGCGACTGGTAAGAATTTCTTTTTTAATCCGGTGCCATACAAAGAGTTTTGCGTTTTTTCTTGGGAAAGTTATTTTATAAAAGCAATAGAAAACTTTTTTCCTATGTTTGCATAGCCTGATATAAACACTCGAGGCGTTGGGAGAATTCTCCCAACCCCTCTCGTGTTTATATCAGGCTATGCAAACACGGAAAACGTTTTCTATTGCTTAAGTATTGTTCAAACCGAACGCGAAACTGTTATGATACTAGGGGGTCTGGAGACATGCTCCGCCAACAAAAACCAAAACAACAACAACAACAACAACAACAAAAAGACACATAACCAAAAAAATAGACTTACATTAGGTCTGAAATATCAGGAAATACATCTTAAATTCGTATCCGTTTAATACTCGTTCACATTATTTTTTCAGTTGTTTTAATTTTGAAAAATGAATAGTTTGAAAATTGAGGATCCATTTTACAGCCTTTACTGTAAGTGCCCCTGTTTCATGCTGCACGCAGCTTGGAATTACCATAAACAATACTGTTTGCTACTTTGGTTGATTGACAACTCATTTTTTATGATGGATTCCGTTACCTTACCCATAATACACCGTTTGTACTCTGCCGGCCACTATTCTGCATAAGCATTGCTTTTGCTGTCTCTTGAGTTGACTAAATACCCTGAACAAATTGAAGGGTGGGGAGGAAGTGTACTATGGGCAATGTAAAAATGGCAAATGAACTAACTGTTATAAATACTCGAGACTCGTCTCGATTCTAGAGTAAACTTTACCACGAACATTCTATCGTCCCGACCAACTGCCCCCGGTGGTTCGCCGAGGATAGCGTAACCTAGAATCAGCCACACCTTGTCGCCCCAAAATTGGGGCTCTCTTCTCGTTAGGCCTTTCAAGCTGGAATTATATTTACCAACCGGGACGAAAATAGAGCCTGATCTCAGGTTATCACATGCATAGAAAACGTACTCGGTCTCTGTATCAAACAGCCCAATTACACGATGACGTAATTTTACTATAGCTGCCATTACTATAGAATCCTTGAGGGTTTTGCTTTGTTGTGCAAATTAGGGATTTTGTTATTTAAACCACCCTAGGGTAACCAAATTTGAATATATAAAAAAAAATTAAATAGAATAAATAAAAAATACGAAAAGGCTTTCTGTCGTAGTTAAAATGTCGCCATGGTGCAAATAGCCTATTATCACGTCATTACAGAAACAAAGAGGGAGCGAGACGCAAGAAATTTGATTGTTTCCAGAAGAAAGCTAAGGAAGCTGGCCATTAAGAGATGACAAACGTGTAAGTTTTTTTCTTATTTAAAGACTTATTTAAACGTATTAGAACATACATGCCATTAAGTTGAAGTTGCTGGAGAGTTGAGAAAAAGAAAGCTTAGGTTTGATCGTTATTTCTGAATCTGTCTGCATGCATAATGCCTTAATTTACTTCAAAAGAGGAAGGTGAAAAAACAAAATAAACTAAAAGATATATTATGTTCCTGTCTTATCTCAAGGATAGAGATCAATTCCTTACTGCTTCCGAGTGAGAAAATCAACCAACTTTTTAGCCGTACGCTCTGTACTATTACTAGTTAAGAAGAAACACCTATGACTATGATTCCAATTTCTATTGCCTTTTTATATTAGTTTTTATTAAACAACAAATTGTGTATGTCAGCTCCTTAAACTAAATTATGTGTAAAAAAGGAAAGTCTTTACCCTTTTCTGTTTCACTTTTTTATAACCGAAGAGGAAAGGTTAAAAATAGATTAATTTACGACAGCTGAAATTCAACGAATTCAGGACTATCAAATGGTGATCGACCTTTTAGCTTGTCGGCAAATCAACAAGCAGACTTTGACGTTTCCTTCCATTAACGGTAAAACAAAACAATCGACTTAATTTAACTAACGTTTTCATAAATGATAACTACAACTGGAACATATGACTAAAAAAAATTAAAATAAATTATTCTTTTCGGAAGTTTTAAATTGTAACATCTTTTTTCAAGAATATTAAAACAAATTTATCTTGAAAATCCTTTCAAAAAAATCGGTAAGAGAGTTTTGTACCTCCGTTCAGTCAATTTCGAAATTTCAACCGACTTTCACGTTGCCAGGTGAGTATAACAGTCTACTTTGTGTAACTAAAATCTTCCCGTTCTTATTATTTACATTACATAATGGCCAAGAAATTGAAATGAAAACCCTAGCGGTAAACTGTGAGGATAAAAACGTCAATTTGGATCGTAAACAAAATGCTTACGACTTTAAGTCAGTTAAACTGAGGGCCAAAACGCTCTTTG